TGTTTTCTTGCATTCTTCTTACTGAAAATTCTCTTATCTTCCTCTCTACATAATTGTTTGCACTGTCCTGTGTATATGCATGCTGCAAGAACTCAGTGCCAGGTACCTGGGGGGACCTGCACGTGACTGTGTGTGAATGGAATGTGGTGTCAGCCATTGGAGTAAACCTGGGAATGTGGCTGTTCCTGGCCTGTGGCATCAGAGACTGGAGTGAGGAGGGGGATCCCAGCACAAGCTACAGAGAGCAAGAAGGGGCCTTTCCCGTCATAGGAGACTATTCCTCAGGCAGGAATAGTGCTTGTTTCCAGAACATATGCTGGGTGGCACTGGCGAAAGTGAGCAAGATCAACACTTGAGCGGCTTGAGCAGGATCACAGATCACAGGAGACAGAAGGTTAATATGATAAAAACAAAGAATTAACCCAGAGAAGGAACAGTTTTATGAAACCTGCTTTGAAAATCTAAATCTTTATTCCTAAATTGGTTCCACTATTTTCCACAGATATATTGAAAGTCTCTTTTTTTCCAAAACAAGCAAAACTCATTTCTGAGTTTTAAAATACCCTTTAATTTGACTTCAAACGAAGTCATCCTTTGAACTTGAAACAAGTTGTATGCAGATAATTATGATGAAAGCAAAAAAACAATTTGCACATCATATAATTTGAGTTTGAAAGAGAATGTTACCAGATATTTTTAATGCCACCTCTGGGCCTCAGAGGGTCTACAGAACAAGAAGTGTAACAGTGTATTTCAACTCAAATTTGCTGCAAATATGACTTCACTGATCAAGTACTTGCAAGCCATTTACTGACAGATTATTAAAACCACTATTAATAAACCCTTTATTAAACAATTCAAATACCAGCTCAGCCGTCACCTGAGAAATTTGAGAAATTAAATTAACCTGTCTAGAACTCAGGGAGCCATGCTTCCAAATTAATAAACAGTCAGTTAAACACAAATGCTTAATAAATGGAACTAAGTTAGCCTAGGGGAAAAAACTGAAAATCCAAGAACAGTTTGGAGAAGAACTAGAAAATCTTAATCACAAAGTTATGAAGCACATATAGTAATCTTACCCATACTGTAATAATCTTGCCTCATGCCACTCTAGAAACACTACTTCTCTTCCTGTAGCCTTCACAGTTTTTAAGTTTCTGGAAACTCCAGCAGATTACTACACTATAAACACTCCCCACTTGGATTGCACCTTGGGTTAGGTCATTGAACAACTGCATTTTTAGTGCCTTCATCTTTCCCCAATGAAACAAGATTAAGCAAGTTAAACAAAGTGCAGGAGCGGAAAATGGGGTAGTGGTAAGGCATTCAATCTCACAGAGGAAGCAGCTGGGACCTTTCATAGCAGTGATCCGTTCTGAAAAGTCACTTGGTGAAAAAGTAAGCTGTTTGTCCTTCTGCCTTCCACCTCTCCATATTGTGCATACTGTCCCCACGAATTTAATTCAGGCACATTCATTAAGCTTCAGCACTCATCACATCCCACCCTCACATCAGTTGCTTGGGGAAAATTTGTTTATGACAAACCATTTGTTATATGACAAACCATTCCCTTTTCAGGAACACGTTCTGGGCAGATTCTACATGCCTTTTATCTTGTCAGATACAGCATATATTGCAGTACATTCCACAGCTGTAAGAAACTTACTGTTCAGCTGACTGAAAACATTTTGAGTTGAAAGAATTCCTATTCTCCCTATTCTCTAGACTGCTGAGGTCCAGAGTTAGTATTAAAAACAGCATTTTGGGGGTTTTAACTGAAATTAACTGATACGTGTAAATAGATTTTTTTTTTTTTTCATAAAACATACTGTCATACAGCTTTATTACAGCTCTTTCCCACAACAAAGTAAAAACTCCCACCAAAATGATTCCATCTCTTCAATACCAAGAAATTCATATTTAGACCAATGGATGCTTTGGATAAGGCCCTTTAGTATTTGCCCAATTGTTTCCCAGGGAGGACTGCTTGGAAACTAATCAGGGAGATGCTTAGGAAAGACACTAGTTTTATTGTCCCAAAGTCCTTGTTTACAACTTCACAGCATACTATTACAGAATGCTGAACTGCCAGATAATACTGATTTCTGCTTCCCTCATAACAACTTTGACTCCTTTAGACAAATCAAAATTTTATTTTGAGACTAAGTGTGAAAAGCGTAGTCTATTACAATGCACTAATCACAATGTACATAAACTATTTGACAACACATTCCTTTCACACATGCAGTGTCTCACTTTTTTCACTTAAAATGAACAACTTAAAATCAGAGCTTCTTATAAACTTTACCCAGCACACCAGCTCTGAACAGAGCCTTCATGAAAGATGGGTGGAACTGAGAGGTTATGAATGAAGTGCAAGCCCAAATGAAGAACTAACTAACCTTCTGTCATATTGTTACTGTTTTACTGAAAAGCATTGAAAATAGGTAATTCTTGTGTGTAATCTAGCCCCTACACTAAAATGGGTACAATCCAGATTCTTCCTCTAAAGAATCTATATAATATAAACAGAAAAATAATTACATTTTATATTATTTTTAATAATTCTATTAACCTAAATGAGAGTTATTGGGGTCTTTTTCAGACATCCACCTCAGCACAGTTTATTAACTTAAATAAGAGATTTAGAAGATAATTCAGACCAGACAGAAGCACAGATGTCTCACTTCTTGCAAGCACTCCAACACTTATTTTTCCCAGCCACTTCAGTGCTCTCAATGGCATTTAGGTACATTCTTTACAGCACATGGAATTTTTTTCTAAAGGCTGCAGCACCAAATGAATAGGTTATCAGGGCATTCCCTGACTGCTGTCCACAGCAATCAGCAAGCATGTCAAAGGTTAAAACCAAGCAAAAGAGTTCCTAGAACATGTAAACTCACAGGAATATGTATATGTCTGAATATGTATACCCCTCATTAATAAGCATTTAATCAATGTAATGAAATGTATGTAAGTGTTGAAGCTAACGGTGTGCTTTTGGCAGATTGTCAAGCACCCCAGCACTGGATATTGTCCCTTTTATCCCTTACTAAACTCCTACAAAAAATTTTAAATAGTGACCCATTTCTCACAGTTAACAATTTTAAAGTCAAATTGAATTTTTTACAGCTACTGGTATTTTAAACAAGGAGTACTTAGTTGCTTTTGCAAGGATGCACTGGAAGATGGCACAAATTCCACCAGAAGTACTTAAAATCATGGACCTTGCTGACATGATGTCAGGACACTGAGAGTGTATCCTACCCTCAGCAAGACATAAAACCTGCTTCCTAGTACTATTTATTCATCTTCATACATTACTAAACTTCTGCAATAAGTTTATTATAATAAAATGTCATAAAAATGACATTGCCCTTGAGTAACAGGTTATGTAAATATATACATATACTTATAAACATATATATATATATATATATACACAGTTTTATATATGTAGGTATCTCCAGCTTTATTGCTAAAATAGAAACTTTATGGAGCTTCTGAGAGCCACATTTAAAAACAAGCTGGTGACCTATCATTTTATTACTTGAATACAATGGTGAATATCTTACAAAAGTTCGTATGAGTTAGTTATTCATGTTTAATACAAATCCAAGTGGAAAAACCAATAATGTAATACTGATAGAAGAACGGATGAAGGGGCTGAGAAGGCCTGTTATATTGATAAAAGGGCTAGGAAGGCTGGTTATGGGCAGTTCCAGATAAAAACAAGGACTGGTCACTGATCAGAGTAAGGACTAGCTGCCTGGAGCATCTTAAACTGGCCAAAACTGGCTTTGTGGTCTGGAGAAATGCCAAGGGTCTAAGGAACATGCATAAAGAACAGAGGTGAAAAGTTCAGCACGAAGAAAAGCTCACTTCATCCTAAAGCCCCCTCCGCCCATGACCATCTGGAGGCACTGCGCAGGAGCAACCAAGAGTAGCCAGAGGTGGGGACTATGGAAGGTATTTCCTGGGACTCGTTATAATAAACCTGCCTTTTTGGGGAAACGTTATGAATATGTATAGGCTTTTCACAATTATCTTAAATATTAAATATTACATTTTGTGTATAAAAGTGAGATAAATCACAACAATGGACACACACATTTATGGTGGAATGATCCCTCATGCATCCAGCACACTGAATAGACATACCTACTTTGCAACTTTGCTGGTTGCTTGCTGCATGTCAGAACTGGATTTAGCTTAAACTTGCATTCCAACTTTAGGCAATGGGAATAACAGCAATCTGTTTTGCAGAATTACCCTGTACACGACAAAACTTTTATTTTGACCTTTCAAAACCTACACTTTTTTTTTTTTTTTTTTTTTTTTTTCTGTACTCTCCAGGTGCAAATACACTAAGACAACAGTTCCATGTTCATTTCTATAGGACTAGTATAGCCTCAATTTTCCAAGGTTTTTCTTAGTGAGAGGAAAGCTAATGTCTTTACAAACAATTTGATGGGTGAAGGTGTGGGTGTTAACATCTTTGAAATGGGTCTTAATGCTTATACTAACTTTGGGCAGCAGGTTTGTTGCAGAGCCCAGACAGCTTCTGAGATAGACAAGGGTCTGCACAAGCCTGAACTTCTGATCTTTGGGGATATGTGGTAGGTGGTTCGGGAAGGCTGTACCTTCCTCAGCAACGGGGAAAGGAAGAGGGCAACATGGGGCCTGGAGTTTGGGATAAAATGAGGCTGTGCCCTCTGAAACCTCGAGAGAGAAAATCCCAAGGCCATGTGCCCCTGTTGAGTCCCCCCCTTTATTCAAAAAAAAGTTGAAGGACTTCTCTTTTTGGACATAAACCTCTGGTGTTTGTGGAATATTCCTGACATTAGTCATGACACACTTTTGGCTGATTACATCATCCTGATTTCGCCACTAACTCTTCTCGCCGCCATATCAGTTGCTCCACCTTTTTCACTACTACTTCCGCATTCTGTTGCCACTGACCTTTGTCTTCTGCTAGCACGGTAAAGCAATGCTAAAAATAATCTGATCATTTTTCTATAACCACTGAAATTCCTACCCGGCGGACAAAATGGCTGTTTACCCTTTAACCCTGTGCATCGATCCGACTCCGCCCGCAGCGGCGCTCAGGGAACGACTGGCAATTCCCACCGAGAGCACGCAGCGTGTCAAGCCCGGCGCCCGCCGGAGGGGCCGGTTGTGGCAATCGCGCTCGCACACGCTCAGTCCCTTTCGCGCTCCGTTTCTCTCGGGCTCGTGCTGGAGCGGGGCTTCCCCCGCAGCGCTGCCGTGTGCGGTGGGAACGCGCACGGGACCTGGCTGCCCTCGGAGGCCGCGTACGGTAACGGGCCGCGCTGTTGGAGCCGGGTCGCGGCCCTGGGGAAGGGAGTGGAGCGGGACCTGCGGGAATAGAAGGTCGCTGTGTTGCGCAGCGGTCCCGGCAGCAGGGTGTGTGTGTGTGTTTGTCTGTCTGTGTGTCTGTCTCTCTGTGTGCCTGCGTGCTTTTGGTTTAGAACTGACGATCAGTTTTTTTCATACTCAGAATCTTCATTTCCATAGCGAAATCTCCTGGTCATTAGGCCTCTTTAAAACTGGTTTTGGTTGTTAAGGTGAAGTTTCACTACATTTGGAGATCGGTGGGACAGAGATTTGGAATAACATATCACATCAATCACAAGAATTTATTATGTCTGTATTTTTGGTAATAATACTGATCTTCAGTACAGCATTAAAGTTCGATCTTTTACTTAAATCATCTTAGTAGTGGGAGGTACACTCTCAGGCTTTTTTTTTTTTTTTTCTTTTTTTAATCTTAGAAGGCACAATGACTGACTTTGAAAAGAACCTGCATCAGGACATGGTTTCTCAGCTGCATGGCTTTGCTGCTGCTGGAGACGCAGCCAGGCTGAAGGTGCTGCTCAGGCACTCCCCATCACTGGTCAATGCAGCCACAGGGAATGGCTGGACAGCCCTCATGTATGGTGCTAGAAATGGACACCTCGAGGTTGTGCAGGTTCTTCTTCAAGAGGGGTAAGCTGTTTAGCACATGCCATTCAAGAGCTCTGCTATGCACCTTTTTTTTTTTCTTGCCCGTATCAGTTTTGTCTCAGAAATAAATTTACCAGATAGATAATGGCAGAATTTTCAGAGCTAAAACTCAGGAAAATGTGTTCTGTGTCAGTTTATAACTGGGTTCTGCTATTGCATCATGCTTTTTTTTTTCTTAGCATATTTGTTAAGAAAGTCTGAAAGTTGTAAGCATCTCTAAAGTTACTCCTTTGATATTCAAGGCTATGTTGCCACTTTTCACAGAGGCCAACAGAATAGAACAAAGTTTGCACCCTAATTCCAGCCATTGTATTGAATATAAATTGCGTGTATTTGGTTGTTCCACTTAAATTTTTTCTCTAAACTTGATTTGTAATCCACTTGAATCTTTGTTAGTGTAGAATGTGTGCTGACTAAGCTTTAGTAGGACATCACAGACTCACTTTTTCCAAAGTTACTTCAAATGGAAAATGCTTTAAAACTAAGTTAGAATCAAATGCATTTAACTGAGTTTAACATTAATAAAGCCCAGGCTGTTCCGTTCTGAACTCCTAGTTACAGAAAAGAGCAAGTTTAGTTCGTTCTCTAGTTAATGACTAACTTCAGACATAGCATTCCACATCCTCCAGTAATCATGCCATCCATTCTTGATTTTTTATTCAGTCATACCCAAGACCTGTAGCCTGTGTTGGGGCTCAGAGTGGGGCATTAGATAAACCATTGGTTTCTATTATAATCAGTACATTCCAGTATGTAGAGGATATCTTAGTGCAAGATATTGTCTATTGAGAAATCTTTTGAGATGCTGGGGAATATATCAGTTGGTAAATAGGATTACAGTTTTTAACTTTAGCTTTTCTTTAAAAAAAAAAAGTGAATATTGCTTTTAAATGTCCTTTTTGTGGTTGCTCTGTTAGGCAATTGACTATAGTTCATAAGATGATGCTGTACCGTCATTGATCTTCTTTTAGTTAATGCTCAGAATAATTATTTTGACAATTATAGCTGCTGGTTGTGCAAACATGAATGTCTATGAAGATAATATTTCATAACATCAGAGACAATAATTCTAGAAATCTAGTCAGTTGTTTTTTGGTCACAGAATAGTAGCATCATAGAATGTCCTAAATTGAAAGGGACCCACAAGGATTAAGTCCCACACATAGTTCTGCACAGCACTGTCTCCAAGGATCACACCATGTGCCTGAGAGCATTGTCCAAACCTTACTGATCTTGGTCAACCTTGTTGCTGTGAGTGCTGCCCTAGGGAGCCTGTTCCAGTGCCCAGCCACCCTCTGAGTAAAGAACATTTTCCTGATAGCCAACCTAATCCTCTCCTGAGAGAGATTCATGCCATTCCCCTGAGTCCTGTTACTGGCCATGAAAAGAATTGCTTTAGCAGCAAAAACTTGTAATTTAAGTTTTGAATAGTTTTTTAAACAGTATACTCAAATTCCCTCAAAAACTGCTGCGTTTAATATAAAATCTCAAAATGGTCTTGCCTGTGGTACAGTTAACTGCATATCAGCAACATTAATATTACTGGCATCTTCTGGTTTTAAAAACTGATGGGTCTGGTACTTACTACATAATTTGTAGTTTACAGTGACATTTCTGTTTTACTGACCAATTTAAGATTAGCAAATAATTAAATTGTATTATTTTGACCTCCCAGTCAACCTCAACCTATTTAAAATTCGGGTTTATTTTTGGTTTTAGTATTTAAATGTATTGTGAGGCAACATTCCCTTACCTGTTTCATTTTGCAGATATCTTGGTAACAAAAAGATCCCTACAGGAGCCAGCTTCTGTCGCTAATGAGAGGCTGTAGTCTTGATTCTATTTTTCTGTAAATCATCCGGAATTATCAGTTAGAAGGGACCCACAAGGATCAACTCTTGCAGCTGCGCAGGTCATCCCAAGAATCCCACCATATACCCATGTGTTTGAAAGCATTGTCTAAACATTCCTTGAACTCCAGCTTTGTGTCCTGTCACTGGTCATCAGAGTGAAAGGAGTAGTACCTGTGCCTCTGCTTTCCCTTGTGGGGATATTGGACATCCCGATGAGATCTGTCTTCAGTCTTCTTTTCTCTGGGCTGAATAAGCCAATTAACCTCAACAGAATATTTTATTGTAAATGCTCTGTTGCTGCTTCCAGGACCTTCTAGAAAGTAATCCTTGTTAGGCTTCTTTTTTTTCTTTTTTTTTTCTTTCATTTTGATTACTGATTATGAGTAACAGACCTATAACCTGACTTTCAAAGCTCTTGTCTTGAGCCATTTTTTAATGATACTTTTAATGATACAGTATGTGGAATTTTAATAAATTCATTGCCTTTGTTCTGCTTCATGAATTTTGGTGAATGATAATCTGGAAAGGATCAACAAGAAAGGATCAACAAAAAGGTGAAATACAGCCTTGGCAAAAGAAGAAGTATATTTTATCACCATGATCCTAAACATTTTGCCTAAAGATTATCCCAGTGTAGACAGTGTCTAGAAGTTCTTGTACCTTAATAGTGTCAGATGCATATGTTGTAAGAATAATACAGCAACAGGACCCTTCCTAAACATATTTACTCTGGTAACCTTAGCTCTTTTCTGTTTATTCAGGTGTGACAGATCCATCGTTAATAAATCAAGGCAGACAGCTCTGGACATTGCTAAATTTTGGGGGTACAAACACATAGCTAATTTGTTGGCTAATGTGAAAGGTGATCAGAAACCTAGTTTTTTGTCAAATGGTGTGAAAGAATACGAAAATTATTTTGGCATGACACTTCTGGACAGAAGGAGTGATAAAAGAGCAGATTCTAAGTGGCTGAGTAAAAAACAAAGCCATCCAGCTACAGTGTACATCCTCTTCTCAAATCTAAGTCCCTTGGTTACTTTGGGTGGGGGAAGGGAGAGCTCACAGCAACCAGAAGTAAAGCTTTGCAGGCTGTGTCACAAGGATGTGGAACAGTGCATGAACCAAACTGAAGAATGTACCTTGATTTTTCTTGGAGTGGACCTGCAGTTTGACATGAACCTGATGGCTGCTTGCAATGAAAGAATTCAGCAAGAAAATGAAGAAGATGGGTTAGTTGCTTGGTTTGCTCTTAGCATAGATTCTGCTTCTGCTGAAAAATTTAAACATAAGCATGAGGACTGTTACTTTCTTCACCCGCCGATGCCAGCACTACTGCAGTTACCTGAAAAAGAAGCTGGTAAGGTGCATAAAATGCAGCAAGTACAAAATGTATAGTCAGATACATTTTGGTGTTCCCTGAGGTATAATTCAAAGAAAAGACAAACCACTGCAAAGAAATTGTGTTTCCAGTGGCTTTAGAAATATTTTGATTTTAAAAACCTGGTAGTGGTTTTGTGAAGAATTTTGTATGTAAGAACGTGTGCATTTGCAAAGGACTAATTTCTTCAATGACAGTATTGGACTGTAAAACCTATTGATCATCATGGGTTTTAAAGAGTACTATTTAAGTATTAATGTGCAAACATTATAAACGTAAAAGAAAAAAAATCTGTCATTACTGAGTTTTCAGTAATGAAATTGTTAATTAAAATTAATAATTAAGAAATTATTAATTACAAGAAATGAGAACCTGAGTCCTTCATAACAGTGTGTTATGACACACATATGACAAGGAAGTGTTGAAAAGTCAGGATGCCAAAGTGAATTTGTGTTAGTAAGGACAATAACAACAAATGTTGTTAATGATTGCTGTCATAGCAGTTTTGTTTTTACATAAGGATAAAAGGAAAGCTTGACTTGAACCTTAAATTTAAATGGAACAATGCATTATTCTGTCAATACCTGTAGAACCCCTAAAATGGTCATCTGAAAAAGACTTTATCCATGTAGTTTTGGCAGTTTGCCTACTCAAAGTGTCTTGTGTGAGAAACAGAGTATATTGATCTGGATGAATTTCTTTCCGAATGTGTGTAAATTGCCCTGTAGCTCTTTAATACCATGTTCTATTGCATTTGTTATGCTGCAAAGAAAAAGGTCTGCTTAACTCATACTGCTCAAGTTTTCTTTTAGCCGTGATTATGATTCAAACCACACTCTGATTTTTTGTGTTAAATCTCAGTACTTGATTTTTCTATGCTGTTAAAAGCTTAACATGAATTAGTATTTGATTTTGTGCATTTTCAATGTATTGTTTTAAAGGAGTAATAGCCCAGGCAAGATCTGTTCTAGCATGGCACCACCGTTACCGATTCTGCCCAACATGTGGGAGTGCAACCAAGATTGAAGAAGGGGGTTACAAGAAAACTTGCTTAAAAGAAGATTGTCCCAGTCTCCAAGGAGTTCACAACACATCATATCCAAGAGTTGGTGAGAATACTCAAAAGCGGCTTGCATGTAAATTAGTTGCTTGTAAATTGCTATGCATGTAAATCAATTTATTTCTAGTTATTTCAGCTTCTTACGTCTGTCCTAGGTCTTCCATACTTGCTTCTCCACAGGTTATGTGTGTCTCGGCTCTGTTTAAGATTAAGTAGTTCAGGCTTGTCTTTCTTGCACTAGTCTGTGATACAGAATTGCTGTGACAATGCTAACCTTATTTCAACAAGTACTGTCAGTTAGAAGTTCCAACAGTATAAATGAGTATAAAGGGTCACATTTTACTTTATTACTTAAAACTAGATGACAATAAAAAGGGGAAAAGATCATGGATTGATGGGGTGCTTAGACCAATAGGAGAAATACTAAGTTAGAAAGAAAAAGACAGATACAATGACCAGAAGTGAGAAAATTTGTCAAAGTGCAACATCATATGAGAAGCTGATAGTAAAGAGTAAACAAAGTCAAAGGTGGAAAGTAGTCAGTACTTAGTATTTGCATTGTCAGCAAAGTGTCTAGTTATTTGGTGTTTAGTCAAAAAGACATTGTTCCGACCTCTGTGGTGAAGAGAAGATGATAATAAATGAGTTTGTTGCAGAAACTGTTTGTATATGCTGGATGCATAGGTTAGCACTGCTGATACTCTTAGCAGATTGTGTCCTTTGGTTACAGGTAATTTCTGTCCTGCATTTCAAGCCTTGCTAAGTAAGCAAGGTTCTGCTTCTACTAAGCATGTATGTTGCCAAATGAAGAGGTGTCTTGAGTGGAGGGTAACCCCTAAGTGAACTGAAATAACAGTTTACTCTGGGCACAGACACAATTATGATTTCAATATAATTTTTGACTTTATGTGCATTGGTATGGAACAGACTAGAAGTTTTTACTGCATTAAGTCTCTCAAATGTTGAAGTATATTCATTTCATGTCCTTTGCAGATCCTGTTGTGATAATGCAAGTCATCCATCCAGATGGCAACCATTGCCTTTTAGGTAGGCAGAAGAGATTTCCCCCAGGAATGTTTACCTGCCTTGCTGGATTTGTAGAACCTGGTGAGTAATTTAATTTTCCTTTATCAAATGTATTTTCTCAAGGAAATACCTTTACAATTACAGAGGAATATAATTTGTGTCTTAAATTGAAGTTTTTTTGCTTCCTGATAGAAGAGTTGTTACAATAAGTACACTCATTCTGTACTTTGCAGCTGCTGATTTATTTTTAAAGAAGTGAAGAGCAACTTGAATAAATAAAAATACTGAACAGTTTTCAAATCATGTAGTCTTAAATCACTACTTAAATGAAAAAAAAATTATTTTAAAACACGTCACCTTGGCTGGTCATACTTAGCAAAGGATTTTAGCATAGGAAAAGTAAGTGTTAAAGTGTAAGTTAAAGCTAACATGAAGTTAAACATATGCTTATGTGTTTAGGGCCTGATTGATTCTGTGGAAGATAAGTAGAAATTACATAATTCTAAAAGAAAGATAAAGAGATATTTCAATAGCTATGTCAAGTGATAATAGTTAAATTAGTTACAATTATGAGTATCTGCAGAACAACTTGTAAAATATTCTTGTATTGTGAATAGATCTTTATCACCAGGGAAATTGTAGTGAGTAAATATATTCAGTAAATATATGCAGGCTGACATACAGTGACAGCGTGAAGAAGCTTATTCAAGTATCACTTGAAAGAAGTCAAGATATTTATTTCTGATGGGTGGACCATGTCCTTTAATGAACCTGTAATCAGTGATTACAGCACAGTACATGTGTGCCTATGTGGGCTGGTGACCATCAGCATTCCACACACATACATCTACAGTTTTCTATGGATATGGAAGCAAAGCTTTCCATTGCAGTTTCAATTTACAGTATTGTCCGCATGTGTTAAGACAGTGAAGAATGAGTCAGGCAAAGGGAATAATACAACACAGAAATGTGAGCAAGTATTCTAAATCTCTGTTTTCTTGTTTTGTAATTCTAAATACTGATTTTTGGAGTTGTAGTACATGCTGTTGCAATCACACTGAAAATCCAGAAATTAACACGGTCCTAGTTACAAATTAATATTTCAAGAATAATTATAGGAATTATGTATTTTCTACCTAATTTTTGACATTTTAGGTATAGTGATAATGGTTTGTGTGTATAATGAATTATCAATTCAGGAAATAAATATTATTATGGAGAAATTACTACACTTTATTTTTAAAGTTCCATTTTTCTTTTTATCTTTTTATACTTTTGTGTCTTGCGCTGAGGTCTTTGCCCTGATCTGTGAACTAGATCTTTATAGATAATTGCCTTGGGCAGTTTCATATCTTTTGAGTCAGTTCAAAGCACAGCATGTGATCATTGCTTGGAGTATTTTCATTACCTGCTTGTTCTTTGCTCTTTTTGATTAGGTGAAACCATAGAAAATGCTGTTCGAAGAGAAGTAGAGGAGGAGGCTGGAGTCAAAGTTGCCTGTGTTCAGTACGTCTCTTGTCAGCCATGGCCAATGCCCTCCTCCCTAATGATTGGCTGCTTAGCTGTTGCAGTGTCCACAGAAATTAAAGTTGACAAGAATGAAATAGAGGATGCCCGCTGGTTCACTAGAGAACAGGTGAAGTTCAATTTTATTTTCTTCTTCTATTGATTTGTCTGTGACTGTATTGTTTCTGGCATACAACAGACACTTGCTTTTTCAGCAAGTCAAATGAGCATGTGTCCTCTTCATTTTATCATTCTATAGTTGCATTATATTGTCATTGTAGGTTAGACACAACCAGAAAAAGGTATTCAGAGTGATGTCTGAGTTACTTGCAAGATCATTTTATGGTGTTTTTGCCAGTTTGTTCTTCACCTTTCCCTTCTGTGAGATAGTAATTTTAACCCATGTCCTTAGCGAGCCCGTGCTTTTTATGCAGTTGTAGTATTTAATAGCATTATTCATTACAGTTTCTCCAAGCAGTCATGTTGCCAGATTTGCTGTGAGGGTGGAAGTTAAAGGACTCTGGGAGTTCATTAGATTGAATATCTTTTTTCATACTGTACTTTTTTAATATTCTGTTACTAAATGCAGCTTACTGTGCATTAATAAGAAATCCTATGCTTAGCTTCCATCAGTAGTTAAAATATAGTCAAATAAAAGTGAGGCAGAAAAGACTTTCACAGAAGTATTTCAGTTCATGAGTAAAAGTAAAAATTGCTTGCACAGTTTAGTTTTCACAGGTTTTCCTATAGGCAACTTAGGAGCTAAGCTTTTAATAACACTGGACATCTGCCTAGCAGTTCAAAGCGTTTTGACTGTAAGTCACCTTGAAGGCAAAGTTAGTCACCTACAATGAATGTGTTTGTGTTAACACTGAGAGCATTATTTTAAAGGAATATCAGTTCTGAATACAACTAGTCCCATGCAGATTGGGCATACAGCTGGAAATATGCTTCACAAATGTAATGAAATGTATTCACATGTTATTTGCAGCTGCTTCAGAAGACCAAGAAGACACATGTCCGTGGCGCTACATGTAAACATTAAAATAATTATTTTTGTCACAGTGTAGAGCACTATCTGGTGGTCCTTGCCATAAAAAGGCTTCACAGAAACCTTAAATAGTATACTAGCGGTCTCCACATTTCTGTTAGGAAGAAGGTATCCTTTGGAGCACAATAAGCTCAAAAATGTCATAATTCACGCAATGTTGGACTTTCTCTGCATTTATCTTGGAGAATCTTAGTAGCTGTTTAATAGGTATAGCAATGGTAGACTGATGGATCATTATATGAAGATAATTTCTGCATTAATACAGAGTTAGATTCTATATAGTTTATAATGCTCTCTTCTAAAGATAAAAAAATCTGCTTTTATTGCAGGTCATGGAAGTTCTCATTAAAGGAAACCAACGTTCTTTCTTTATACCACCAAGTCAAGCTATTGCACACCAGTTGATGAAACATTGGATTGGAATGAATGCTAATCTTTAGTTCTACTAATTGATTTATTTAAGTTACTTCTTCCATTGAATGCTTAATTAGGAATAAATTAGAACTGTTTTGTCTAGTGAATGTGTAACCAAGTGATTTTAAATAACCAACTTTACATTGGTTCCAGGGCTAAACTATGCAAATCTTTGTAGGTGTTTTCAGACCTGAATTAGATTTGGACAAAACCCAATAATTATCCCAAGCAAGCAAGCACCAAATAAATAGAATTGGTACCTTGTTGAGTTCAGGCTGTGTTTCTTACTCTGGAATGAAATTATTACGCCTTTTTCTTTACACTTTATATGTTTGATTTGGTCTTCCCCCACTGGAAGGAGTCACAGCATTACAAAGAGGGCTGTCTGACCTTGCCTGCTGTTTGAATTGTCTACTTATATCCTCCTCTTTGGCCTTAATTGTTTCTTTCTCATTTTTGCATATCTCCATTTTTTAAATTTGACCTGTCACAGAAATCTACATTCAGTGCTGAAAGCCTTACCAAGTGTGGTTATTTTAAAGTTAATAGCATATGTAGGTAGTCAATATGTGGTACTTTTATCCTTTATATTAACAACCTAATTTGTGTTAATGCTCAAAGCAGAGCATTTACTCGTCCGTTCTGACTTGGCCTGCACTTACCCAGTTGTATGTCAGCCTGAATTTAAAGGTATAACACAATACTTTGTTTCTGAAAAAGGTGTTGGAGAACCATCCCCAAATGCCTACATATTAGTGTTTTTATAAGATAATAATGTACTTATTGATGCTAGGCAGTGAGTAATTTAATTCTCTGATAATTAGAAATGAAATTATAGAATAATGGAGAAGTAAGAACAAGATGTATCACAAAATATGAACAAAGTTTTTTATGGAAATAGAGATGGTAAGGTTGTTACTTCTATTAAGAATCTTATGGTTGAAAGAAGTATATTAACTGCAGCTATAAGACTGGGATAGCAATATGTTAATTAAAGTATCGATTTATGTGTTTTTAATGCTGCAGTTCAGATTTGTGCCTTAACTTACCAAGTTATTTAAGATAATGTTGATATTCTAAAAAGAAAAGTATACTAGTTTATTATTAATTTCGTAATGCAATATTCATGGTCTGTCGTTCTGCAGTCATTGCAGTGATATCAAAAGAAATGCAAATGACCTGAGGAAATTATAGTGACAAATGTAAACTTACTATTTTATTATTTGTTTATTTGGAGCAATTTAAATTGTTTTTAACAGTGAATGATGTAATATTTTTTCCAAAATTCTCAGCAACCTAGGATCATTAAAACTGTTGTACAAATCCCGATGGTTCTTTGTTTTCCCCATCCATGTCACACTATGCTCAGCAGTTTTCATGGGTTTTTTGTAAGGCAGTACCTAAGAAACTTTAAAGCAAGAAGCCTTCCTGACAGATTTGGAGTATTTGACATATTATGTTGCTTCATTCTCTTCCTTGTTTTAGCCATACATACAAATAAATACAGGTTATCTCTTGTCTGGCAAGGAGAAGGAAACAATACCCTGCTTCCCTTAAAAATTGCTTTTACAGAGAAGGCGAATTATGGAAAGCTGTCATAGGCCACATATACCAGCATGACTGTGCAGTAACAATGGCAATTATCAGTTGCAGGTTGCTCGTAGAGTGAAGGAAGATATTGGAAAGTATGCAAAAAGTAGTGGAAGCTAAGCAATGAAAGGAAGTTTTAACTAGTGCTGTGGTGATTACATTCAGAGAGACGAACAACAAAGCAATGAGGAGCCAGATGGAAGAGGGAGGATAAAGCATAGAGCAAATATAGGTAGCATAAAAGTAAGTAGTTTATGATTTTGAGATAGCTAAATGTAGATGACTAAGACCCATAGGAATACTTTTGGAACTATTGGAATAGTTTTTTGTGTAGAATATTATGGTGAGTGGCTATAGAGATGTGCTTCTAAAAGTGAAACTCCAAACACACTATTCCTGACCAATACTGATGTTAATAATCTGCCTAAATTTTTTTTTGAGAATCTGTATACCAGTAAATATCTGCAGTTACAATGCTAATAAGTAAATTGAAAATGTACACTTTTCTTTATGAAGAAAAACAGAAAAATAATTATTAATATGACAAAAGGAACAGCACTTAAATAATCTCTGATTTTGAGAGTAATATTTTAATGATCTTTCAAGTCTAATTACTTAAGTGTGTCAATGATTTCTAGTCTTCATACATTTTCAAAATCTAAGCCAAGCTCTTGAAAAAGGTTTTGAAGCTTTCTTTTCCTTTTTCCCTTACCAAGAGGGTAATTCAATTTGCAGGGAAGAAGACAAATCTAAGAAAACTAGTTAGATAAATTTAATCTACTTAAGAAAAGATTTTTCCTAGATTTTTGTTGCTTAATTTGCCCAATTTGTAGTTCAGGGTTTGAATTTATTTCGAAATTACCCATACGTTTTTTGAAGGATAGCTACTATTTGCAGTTTACGCGGGAAATGTCAAATGTCAAATTGAAGAGCCAAATGCTGTGGTTCAACTACAGCAGTTCAGGAAAGTGCCAAATTAAATATAGGTGCAGTTGAACAGAGTGTAGTGGTTCTGACTGGAGTATTGTGTGGGCAGCACCTGCAGAAGATCTCAGTAGTTCAACATACTCAAAAGGCAGCCGCAGCTTCGGAAGCAGGCTGTTTCTTGCCACAGTGTTAATGCAGTAAATTAAGAGAATAGTGTTACTTACTAAAAAGAGTGGGTTTTTTTTCTGCACTGTGAGTAATGATCTGTCTCTTTTCTCCCTTGCTTGTACAATGGTATGAGACCAAAAAGAGTACTCATGATATCACATGTACAAGGCAGAAGATTCTGGAGATGTCTTTTATCCCAGTTTGCCTGTGTATTAAACAGAACTACGTTCTATTCAATATATAATTTGAAAATATTTTATATGTCTTTATAATAATTTACAGATAATAGAAATAGTAGCTTAATAAAGCAGGAAAAATAATTAGGTCTTTGATATTTCTAATGAAACTGTAATCTCATGCAGTGTAATGGATGACATTTTATGTAAGTATAATACTGGTTATGGTACTTTTACAAACTTTGCATTTGTCCGAATAGACATACTTCTTTTAAATCACTTTTCCTTCTGGATATATGTAAGCACGTGAAAAGTAGAATCATTCCAGTGTTGATTCTGTAATTTCAACATTATGTTTTCTATGGGAGCATTGGCAAGTCAATAAATTATTACATTGAAGTCTGCAAGACGTGAGGGAAAAACAGGTCAATGTCAACAGGCTGATTAAAGGTAGACCAGTCATGATGCTTCATGGAATTAAATATACTAATCAGATTCTGAGCTTAGCAGACAGAAATAGAAAAAGAAGTGGAACAAGGCTGTGAACATTCCTCCCTCTTTTATCTTTAATTTTAATTAGGTAATCTGATTGATTAAGACTTTTCAGATGGAGCTGGCATTTTGTAGCTGCTGGGTAATTTAGTTGTTATTTTTATTATCTGCTTTAGTTATAAAGAGTTAAATAAGTGGTAGTCCTTTATTGCTTCATTGGTTTGAACGATATGTGTATACTGTATATCATTGCTGACTGGGTTTGATGGTACTGACGGGGGTAAGTCTAAAGAAAAAGAAAATTGAATTTGTTATCCTGTTAAGCCTTAGGAAGACGGCCAAACCATCCTTCATGAGCTTAGAAAAGCAAACTGTTTACAGACAGTCCATAACAGCAAGCATCTGAGGAAAATGAATATTGGCTTGTGGCAATGGTAAGTATAAACCTTTTTTCATTAAATTAGACTATTTTAGTTAGTATTCTGTAGCTACTACTTGTTACAATTCATCATAGATTTTGTTAAATTGGAATTCTGCAGATTTTTTCCATAGTAAGAAAATATTACTGTTTTCCTAAATGATAGACTTTTAAGATGGACATTTGATTCCTAAGTCTGTATTGGTTATCTTATTTTAGCATATAAGTACTACAAATTTAGTGGTATATAATTTTGGAAATTAAAGCCTACCTGTATGAACTTGGATTTGTTAGAAGTATTGCCTTTCTGCAAAACCAGTTTCACATTGGAATATGAAGAGTGCTATGATAAGACTACAGAATTAGTAATCAAGAAGGAATATTGAGAATTGAGAGAGGAGGATGCTGTTGAGTAGAGAAGCTTACATTTTCATTTTTCAGCACTTAAGTAAGCCTGGATAGTAATTTTTTTCCTCCTACCATTTCATCATCTTGCAAACTAGGCTACCTTTGGTAAAGTACATCCCTATTTCTTTCTAACAAGAGAAGCATTCTACATTCGGCTAAGAAATGTAGGTATTTTCTCAAGACCTCTGCCAAAGCTAAAACAGAGTGTATGAAATAAGCATCTCAAATTATTTTGTCACTCTAAGTCTAAATTGCTCCTTATTTATTTTGTGTGAATTGCTCGTCTGGAGAAAGTGACCCTGGAAATTGCATGGTCAGAAAATATGGTTCCCATTTTAGACACCAGAAGTCAAATCCTAGAAGTTAGGATAGGGTGACAGATTTTGCCCATATTGCATTCTATGAACAATAGAATATTTTTCATACATAACGGTAATTTATATTTTATACTCCCAGACATTCTGAAAATAAAAAAACCACCTTGTTTTCAGATAAAATTTTTATAGTGTGCAATTACTCTGTAGGGTGTTTTTGGTGGGCTGAGTTTTTAGTATAAGCAAGTACTTCGAATTTACCTGATTTCTGTTAAAGAGGGACGAGGAATTCTGAAGCTCAAATAAATTGGAGTAATTCAGAGGCTGAGAAAGAATTACAGTACTACACTGACAGCTTTCACTATAGCACCTATGTTTCATTATTGAAAATGGTTGTTACAGTTGTTAATGTATGTTATAGTGAGATTTCTACGAGTTTCACTATTAATCGTTGCATCACATCTGGAGGGTATTTCCCATACCTGCTGTCATTTTTTGTACTGACAAAGCATGAATTGCATAGATAGCACTCTAAATACCAGAATGACAAACTCACTGACATGAACAGGCTAATCCAGCTGATACACAGTTTAGAAGGTTTTCCTTTGGTCCTTAAAATAGGAATAACAGATGTCCAACACTGCAAACAGAAATGGCAGTTTATGTGATTTTTAAAACATATTTTCAGAGCTTTTGGTGAAGGAAAGTTATTTTATGCAGTAGAAAAGAGAGGTAATGCACAGCAAATTCTGTTCTCTATTTATAAATATGTTTCTACTTATTTGATAATAAATACATGAACATCCATTGTAGTAAAATGTAGAAATATTAATTATTTAGTAATTGAATCATGATGGAATGTTTTATAGACCATTTACAACACAGAGGCTACCTACTAGTCTGTTGCAGTGTAAGGCAGTGCACATTTTTAAATGAAGGTAAAAATGAAAAATGCTGCTGCAGAAATTAAGTATTTCCAACATCTAAAATAAATGTTTATCTTTATTAATACATCATTTTGTCTTTTGTTGCAAAAGCTCAAAATAATTAACCAAAAAGCAAGATTACTTGATAGGTAGACAGGAGCTTTACATGACATGAGTTTTACATATGATTTAGCAGAATTTAAAAAAACCAAAAACAACTGACTTCACTTCTCCCTAAAAAAGCAGAAATGCCTGGGTATATACAGCCCATGATTACTAATCTGTATTTCTCTACAACTTTGCCAGCGCTTGCATTCTCAGCACTGAGTTAAAATAATCTTGAAAACATTGGACTGACTGCAATTGTAGTAGCATTTTCTGAATCTAAAGTGAAGAGTATCCTGTCTGCGGGGAGACAGCTTTAATATATTGGAGAGAATAATATAACTATTATTTATTTTCAAAAGATCGGTCAGAATCTATTCAGCATTTCATAATGTGTCCATTTCTACTTGTAGAAAAGTCAAAAATAATGCAAAATCTAATTACATGGGGTTTGGGTTTCCTATATATGTGGATTTATGGCACACAGTAGTTTAGACAGTAACCTTCCATCTGAATCAGAACGGAAGATATACTGACTGGTGTTTGCTATCTTTTCGTGGTCTGAAAAAAAAAAAAAAGGATCCTGATTTGGTGTGCTTATTAAAGTGCCACTGTAGCAGTGAGGAACAAAGTGACACAGACCCCCTTATGCATACAAGGGAAATCCCTTTATTGTAAAAAATCACATCCTTTTTAAGCCTTTAATCTCTACCTCACATTACTGAAACAAAACCGAGACTTAACAGAAAGAAGGCACCCACTGGCTGGCTCAGCTGCAGTGCTGCTGTCCTTGCGTCCTGCTATCCATTCAGCTTCCTGCTCATACACTGTCCACGTGTTCCTCCAGCCAATCGCAATCTCACTTCCAAATGACTCTCTCCTCAGTCATAACTGCCTCTCACCTCTCAGCCAACTTCCAACCATCCAGCCTGCAGCTGTGCCTTTCCCCTGGGGCCTTCTGGTGAGCATAAGCCTTAGCAACTTTAATAATTGTAACCCCATATTCTACATCTCCCCCCTCCTTTTTTGTTAGGTAATGGAAACCTAAACAACTGGTAAGACATTAATAACAGTGACAACAATAATGACTATAACAACTGTTCAAAACGTGTAAGATACGCTTACAACATAGTAACTATATACACATCAATTCAGGATGGTGTGACAAAAGGCCACCCATATCGTGAAGGAATCCACTCCACGTGATGGCCTGTGGAGAGGCAGGCATATCCTCATCCCCATGTCAGCAAGGCCAGCGATCCTTTCCATTCTCCAGTCAGTAAGTGCTTTACCATCACAGGAGGTTTTACATGAGCCTCTGTGTCGAAAGGAGACTGCCTTTCACATGCGGTTTGTCCTGTCTCATCATGAAATAAAAAATTGAGAACATACAAGGCCTTAGTCTTTCATGAGGGCACCTCAACTCCCTGCCTCTTTGTTTTTCGAGCAGGGATTTTAAGGTTTTATGGGCACACTCAACAATGGTACCGTTCATGACATAAATTAGTTGATCGGTGGGTCCCAGTACAGCACCTGTTGCAGACTGAGTTCACTGATCCGTGGTTTTTGTGTGTTTCCTTTGGATGCTCTATTATCAAAGCTATGTGGATACTGCCATATATCCACTGAGTTCCATTTGATTGGAACCTGATTGTCTCCGTCTCTCTGGGTGCCTCCCAGTGAACCCCAGCTAGCCCCGGGGAACATCATCTGGGGAGGATAAGGGGATACAAAATCAAAACTATTACAAAGTATTACAAAGTATAAAAGCACACTACAACACCTGATTATTTTCAGATGTAGAGTTCCTATTTTTATTAATTTTACAATGTGTTGTATGGTACTGTTACAGTCCCTGTAAATGGCTACCTTCTTCCTTTTTTCTAGACATTTTGCAGACACTTTTTAAAAGGCCAGTTTTTTCAGGAAAATACATAGGTGAAGCTAAGCAAGTGAAGACAGGATCCATTCCAGCTGAGGCAGAGAGTGAGAAACACTGCTAAGACAGACGTTTTTGATGACACATTTTGTATGTGTTTGACATAAACATTCTTTGACATGAAATGCATTCTACAGTACTTCAGAAATGTGTGTTCAGAAATTATTCAAATAAAATTCTAGTGGAAGCTTCATAAAGAGAAAAAGGCACAACTAGAAGGTATTTCAAAAAGATGTAATTCAATGAGATAAGTAAAAGGTAAATCAGTGATGAGCCCTTTTTGCCAACTCTCTGTGGAACTCAAGACTCCTAACTACTCATTCTAATGACATTGTAAATTATATATGGGGCATCTACTCCAGTGTATGAAATCTAAAGTAGGGAAAATGCTACAAACCACAATCAGTACAGAAAATAAAAATAAGAAATCAAGCAGTAAACTTCAGCATTTGCCTAGAGATATTGGAGAATCTCAGATGGCTCTGAATGATTCTATGGTTTCTGTGGTTTTAACCGTGCCATTTACTTCACTGTGAGGCACTGAAACAGGTCACTCAGAGAAACTGGGATTGCCCCATCCCTGGAGGTGTTCAAGGCCAAACTGGATGGAGCTCTGAGCAGCCTGGTCTAGTGGAAGGTGTCCCTGTCCATGGCAACAGTGTTGGGAAGAGATGATCTTTAAGTTCCATTCCAGCCTGTGATTGTCTAATTCACATTGGAAAATTCAAACTTTAGTAATTAGAGAAGAGAAACTAAGAAGTGAGAGATGGGACCACACATAGCTAGTAACTTGATAAGCAAAGTCAAAACGATGATTAGTATGAAATAGAAGAATATTGTGAAATACAAAGAGACAAAATGGAAATAAATTACAATTAAATTCAGTGTTATTAAGTTCATATAGGGAAACAGTGACAGAAAAGTAGGATTCTGTATCAAAAGGGAGGAAACAGAAGGGTTTAATGTTGAAACACAGAGGGAAAGAGAAGTTTGAGAAAGGCCTATTTTGGTACGCTGTGACATCATTGGTCTGCAGTCTGTGAGTACTGTAGAATTCAGTAGGGAAGTATTCAATGAGGTGCCACTGAATACATTCATAGCCAAAACCTTCTACAGCATAGGATTCTGAATTATAAGAAAGAGACTTGCAGTCTAAAAGGATCGTTTATATTATCCTGAAAGAGCTTAAAATTTATTTTGTCATCACACCATTCTGATTCAGCATTAGCAAATATATTCTCTGTATTTTCCTTTCTTTTTTTCCTTTGTCTTTTCTGACAGTCTCATCTTTATAGGTTCACTGAACATGGTTGTTTTGAAAACAAAAGAACACAGGTAGTGTGTTCACATAAAATCTCCACTATATAAATATATAAATATAAAGTAAAATAAGTCCTGTGTTTTCAAATTTACGTCCAGTCAGTGTTTTTAAGGCAACTTTTCTTGCATAACAAGATTAACCCAAAGCCATTCATTACATTGATTTAGGGTTTTTTTGTTTTTGCTTTCATTATCACAGAGCTTGTCATCATCTGCATTATCCTGAAGGAAACAGCATTACAGATGTTACCAACAATGAAAATAAACACATTCTAGACAGATATTTACCTGTATTTATAGTGGGATGTAGATATAAATATTTCCAGATAAATCTTTTGCTCAAAATTAGGATGTTATTCTGAGCAAACCCAAGTGCTAATCTATGTAGTAAGAGTAATCTATCATGTAAGAAACTATGTCAATGGACTTTGGCTTCTATTCAGGCAAATGCTGAACATCTCTATTCCCAGTTAAGCTAATTTGTCTCTTGTTCATCTAGTGTCCAGCAGTGGACAAAATAGTTCCTAAGGCAAGGTCTTACCATGCAGTCATGATGCATACAACTAATCCTTGCTCAAGTCTATAGGTCTACTCATGAGTAGGATTCAAGTTGATGAGATTCCTAATTCTCTTACCACATCTCAGCCCCAGGACCAATGAGACAAGAATAAACCAAGACAATGCGTGGGTAGAATAAAGGAAAAGCAAAGAACAGCTGCCTCTTCTGATATGGTAGGCCTTAGAGAAGAAAGGATAAATTAACATATGGAAATATAGTATGGGCAGTAATACTATTATTTGCATCATGAAGTTGTTTCCCGTGTTTTTTTTTAAATTTAAGGTATCAGCAATTTAACACACTGCAGGTACAATAAAAGTAATACGTAAATACTATAATTAATATCCAAGAGCTGATAGACTGAATAGTAAAAACATCAGAGTTGGTAAAACTAATCACAAGCGAACAGTGCAGATAATAATTATAATTTTTATCTACTTACTGCCAAATACAGAAATAATTTTAAAAAATACAGCCGAATCATCCTGTTAACCTATATTGTAAATCTTGTTTTCAGCAAGGCAAAATCTATAATCCTATTTCTATAAACAACTGTGACCTGATTTCTGTTGTTGGTTTCACAGCTGCTTGCTCAGAGTTTTAAATTTTAGAAGGTATTAGACCATTTCAAAAAACCCTAACATGCAGAAAATCAGCACTGTCCACTGTCCAGTTCAATACTTTGAGTGTCCCATGACACCAAATACACATAAATTTGAGTAGTAGTAGAACTCCTGATCATCTCAGACACAGAATTTGCTCTGCAAAGTCAAATTATAGTCTGTCATTACAAAAATAGGACATTTCAACTATGAGGAGAAACTGAAATGAATATGGTTTTCTTTATAACTGATCCAAAATTCTTTCTATCTGCTTAATATTCAAGCATCTTTCTTGCAGTGATGCTTTTTGGGTACTTTTGGTACTTATCTGTTCTTCAATTTATCTTCAACCAAACAAACCATGCCCCCAAAGCCATCATAATGCAAATCTGCTCGCTGCTAACTGATTACAGATAGCCTATTGTTCTTTCCCAAAAATGCGGCCTTAAACACTGCATGTAAAAATGTGTCTTGAGTCTTATCTTGCATTCAGCATTCAGTATAATTCAGAATTTGTTTAAAGAGTAAATTGTGGTGCATATAACTGTAAAAGTAATCAAATATACAGAGAAACTAAAGTAAAACAGGCAGCTATTTTTGATCTGCAGACGGTTTTTAGCAGCATTTTAGTAATGACAATTAGAAATAACATTTCCTACATCGAGGTTAACCATTTCAGGGGAAAAACCCATGGAAATGGAATTTCTGGGGAACAACTGAAAGTAGTATAGCAAATGCAAGTATTTTGGAAATATAACCATGAAGGTCAGGAAGGTGAAGGGAAGGAACTGAGTGTGTAGCATCTTTGTTCGGCTGAATTAAGGAAGTTTCTCCTAGAAGTAAAGACATTTTCCCAGTTTCACCTTAGTGAAATACAACTGAAACCTCAACTGTAACAGTCACATTAGGGTTCTCTTAGTTCCTGAAGTTATGAATATGTGCATCAATCTGCAGATCTTATATATGACACTTCAAATGAGGTTGCTACTCATGGCATACTTGCAACTCTTAAAGACAATATTGACTGTTATCTGAAACTGATGGGCACTCCCTCATGCACTACACTACAAATAGCTACCAGTCCTAGTTCTTGCCTCTGTGTCCTTTAAAGCCTTGTATTTGATTTTAAGGTCATTCTTCCTTCTGAGAACAGAGCTCGGTTGGTGGGTTTGGCTGTCAATCCAAAAGACTAACGACTAAAAACTCCTGGAAAAAGTACAAGTGTATCTTCAAACTGAAAGTGTAAACATTCCAAAGTGCCTGCTGTAAAATGAGTACACCATTTTCACAGTCTGCCTGTAGTGTCTTCCAAAAAGACAAAGGAGAATTGCTTGCATTTTGCAGCCAGCTGATGAATGTAAACTGGTATATTCAGTCATTCAGGCCTCGCACAAAATTTTTCAGAAGTAGAAATTACTGTGTCTTGAAAAAATTTCTTCCCAGTTTTTTGGCTAGCTATGTATCACGGCATACAGTGGCATGTAACATGAATCTTAAAATTTCAGTGTAATTATTCTAAAAGCTTTATTCTTGTAACAAGATTCATATATCCTCATTATTCCAGGTAAGTTTGTGGCCTTAAAAATACACTCCTTCAGCATTCTGAATTATACTGAATGCTCCTTCCAGAATGATGTATTGCATATTCTGATAAAAAAACATCAAAAGACTACTATGACTAATAACACTTGTGATTAGTTGATTTTTCCCAACAAATACTCTATTGATTTCCAAGACCATGCCTATGATGTATTAGGTGTTCAAATACTTCTCACTTCAAAGAATTTCTTCTCAGGAGAAGAAAACAATTATTATTATTATTAAGTATTTTGTTACACATATAAATAAGATTTAATTTAAAATGAATGCTTAAAGCAAAGTATTAATCTCTAAAAACCTGAATCAGATAAAATCATAGACTGTAAAAGATCACTCACTGCTCAAAGCTTCTACAGACTTTAAATGGTATTGGTTCAGGCTCTAAAACTGAGATAATGAGATTTTGATTTTAAGATATTATTTGAAAATCTTCAAAAGTTGTTCCTAAATAACCAAAAAAAGAAATAAATGCTCTAGAACTTTTCTATTTTTTTATTACAACAAATTATACTAAAACAAGTTAGTAAACCTGAGAGTTAGGGGGCAAAACTATTCCAGAGAATCTTTCTCATTATCCAATGTTTTCCCTCCCTCACAGAAAACTAGAACGCAGATGCCCTTGGTTCTTAGAAATGAGTAGAAAGAAAAGAAAAAGCTGCAAGAGCAGAAAGAGCTCAGATTCCAGAGAATGTAAGTTTACAGAAATATTTAATATAAAATAAAATCAGCGGAAGCATATGTGGCTATTCTTAATTTACACATCAAGACAGAAATTCACTTTTGTGCCCATAGCTGTTTGTCAGATTGGAAATATTTACACTTAAGTGTGGATACATATAGGTAATGTCTTGGTGAGGCTAGTTCTTTTATTTTAGTTAAGCTGCTATCCTATTTATTTCTGGCAAAAGCTTACCAAATATATTGTTGTTCAGTTGCCTCAAAATATCATCATTCTTGGTGTAAATCTCAGTGTTGTCTTAGTTTAATAGCTTGTTCTAATCCTGTTTAAGTAGATGTCACTATTAAACTGTTACCCTGTAGTGCACATGACCTTTTCTAAAAAAACCAAAGCAAGACAGAATTTTATGTCACTGTGTGAATGCCATGAACTCTTGCCTAGTACAGGCAAGGTACAGGTAACACTATTTTACCTAGCCAGATAACATTATTTTATTCTACTTAGATCAGGTAGCTGTGACTCACTTCTCCTGGCAATGTGCCATTGACCTGCTGTGTGACCGTATTAATTAATCCCTTTGTTTGCTCATCTGTAAAAGGATTATAAAAGCCAACTTCCATAGAATTTACCCAGACTGCAAGCAGGCAGTGGGATGTTGATTGGCCTAGCGTGTTCACAGGAACAAAGTAAATAGTAGGAGGAGTAATAAAATTTAAAATGTAGCTCTCATTATAAACAAATAGAATATCTTATCTCCTAACAAAAGCAAAAATTTATTTTAAAAAATTGCAAATATATTGAATTTCTCAGATCAGAGTGAATTAATGTGGCCCATCCTGTTCATCTCATTTCCCATTACTTATCAGATAACTATGACAAAACTAGTTAATACCAAAATTAAAAAATAATAATGTGGTAAATACACTAGACTTTAAAGATAGCGTAGGCATTTTCTATGAAAACTGTCACAAAGCTAATCACATATTTATGATACTGCTTACCAAATCATGGGGGAAATGGTTTTTTATTTTCTTTTTTTTACCTTAAATTAGATGCACAGTTGTCACCCATTTGCAAATGCCAGCAAAGTGTAGGAAGCCTTGAAAATAAAGCACATGAGGCTCTGTCTCACTTCACAGAGCCACTGGATGTAAAGGGTGCTGAAGAAGATGGAAAAGATCATGAAAACAAAAATCAGAGTAGCTCAGATGCTTCTGAAGATAGAGACCTTGATAATGCATCAGACTTTGAAAAAGAAGGGAAGAAGGAAAAGAACTGCACTCATAAAATGATCTCACCTCAGCAAGATGAAATCCTGGCTACAGTAACTATTGGTGAGTCAGAGGGCTCATCCAAAGGAAAAATTACACTGTGGAGCAAGCCGGCTTCTTCAGACTCTGTTAGGTTGGCCACTGGAAAAATTTCTGCAGAGGCAAAATATGGCTCTTTTAATATGAAACTAGAAATTAAGAATATTTCTTTGTTTGATTCTGAAACAAAAGTTTGGGATGAAGAAAGAAAAAGTTCAAAGAAAAAGAAACGTCATGAAAGACAATGCCGGAAAAGTCAGTGTTCAAAATGTTCAAAGTACAAGTGCCCTTTAACTGAACACTCAGCAGAACACAGGGGGAAATATAAGGAATCCTCTATACATAAAATTCAAACTGCCATCAATGAAAGTCCCTCCCTGGAAATGAACATCGAAACAGAAGGCATTCAAGTGGAATATACCAGCAGAAGTAAAAATCTGAAGGTTAACGTCAAAGCTGGTGAGCAGCCACAGAGCAAACCACTCAACAGGGAACACGAAGATACATACTGGAGTGAAACAGATTATTCTGTCACAGAGGCACTGTGTAACACAGACTGTGAGTCATTGTTTAGCTTTCATGAAAAAGCAGATTATACATTCCCAGATGGATATGCACTTCTCCCTCCACCTAAAGAATTTGCTGACTGTGACAAAATGCACCTGGATACAATTGCAGAAGGCATATCTTCGTACCCTGTTAATAGCAGAAAGGAATCTGATGGTCTCACTGCAGCCTTGAGTATTTGGGGGGAAGAAAATTATTTCTGTAAACTTAACACACAGGACTATGAAGACCATACCAATGAAAAGGAAGATTTTTCTAAGGATAAAATACTTTTCTCAAAAATAAATAATAGTAATTGTCTTGTAGCTATTAATACCTTGCATAATCCAAACAAAGGGAAAGAATGTGTTAGTAAGAGCAATGTATTATGTCAAGAAAGAAATAACTGTGACAAACACAGAGACAGAGGATCAAAAACAGCAAGAAGAAAGTCTTTCCCAGATACTACCCTGGAGGTACCTTCACCAGTTCACCCTAGAAGGGATTCTGGCTTTTACTCACTGCCATCCTTAAATGTATTGCTTAAGGAGACCAAAGCAGGAGATGTGCATAACAGGAATTCACATATTCCTACCAAACATAAGGAACTTGTTAAGTGTCCTGACTTCACCTCCTCTCTGACAGAGCTTTGCAAGTATCCCGACTTGACCTCCTCACTGAGAAATTTGAGAAGTCTTAAGTCCTCATATCAGTATGCTTTGACATCATTTGATCATCATATCACCATTTATCCATCTGAACCTGAAGAAGGTGTCTGTCTAGATGGCACTTGTTTACTGAAAGATTGTGCAGACTGTGTGGGGCAAGATGAAGAAACAGAAGAAACATTAATGGAGAGTCTTCATTCCAGTGGTACTATACCTGACAAAAGAGAAAATTACCATGAAGAGCCTCTGGGAAGCCTATCCATGTGGGAAGAAGACTCAGAGTCTACTGAAGCTTTTGATAAAGAGAAATCAGAGTACAACTCCGTAGAAAAGCATGTTGAATGGCAAAACAAAGCTCACTTGGTACAAACCTCTCCACTTTCTACAAGCCCTTCAGGTGAATTCATAAATGACAAAGAAAGTACTAATTATACATCTACAGAAAGCATTCCAAAACAATGTTCAGTTTTACAGTTAAATGTTCACCCACCTTATGCAGAGTCTGAGGTAACAAATAAAAGGAGAGAGTCAATACTGACTGACTTCTCCAGTGGAGAAGTAGAAGGAAGACTTGTCCAAGGCAACGCTACATTGATACCTGAATGTTTTGGCTCTGCAGTGAAGAAAGAACCTAACCTTACGTGCAATATACAAGAAAAATTCTTGCTATCATCCTTGTTGTTGGATTGCAAAGAGAAAGACATGAATAAAGCATTGGAAAGCCTTTCTGAGGTACAGGACATAGCTGGAGATGTCCTTGTTGAATCTGATTGCCATAATAATTCAGCACAGGTCTTCAGATTTTCTACCTCTTCAGTATGCACAGGAAAGAAAGACAATTTCACAGAACATTTAAACATTAAGCAAAGATTGGAGAACTCTTGCAGTAAACAATCGATTGATGACAGTTTAAGGAGAGAGCCTGGAGTAAATCAACTACCTCTCTTAGTCAAGTCCAACTTCGAAGAAATTCAATCAAATTTTGAAATGAAAGAAGATTATTATGAGACTGAAGGTATCTCATCATCAGTAAAACATATTAGTCAGAAAGGTAGGTGTTACAAGACTTTTCAAGTTAATATCACACACCTTTTGCTTAGGAGCTTTTGTGACGTCTGTTTTCTTGGAAAATAAATTTATACAAAAAGTTTACAATGATGTTGTTGTATATGTTTGGCCATGGGTTTATAATATACAGTTATTCTGCTGAGGATTCTAGTAACTGTCTCGCACAGCCAAGAAATCTAAATTTAAAAAAAAACCAAAAAAATTAATATAGCTTTGATCAAGAAGCAGTTTTCTTACATTAAACTGCCCACCTATCCTATACATCTAGCAAGAGGAGAAAATACCATTGCAGGAAGTAAAAGTAAAAGCAGTTGCCATGCGATATGAACTCAGAATGCAAGTCTGTGTGTAAAACCACATAAATCTGGCTTTCAAGTCCATGTGATCTACATGAATACTGAATATATATGAATACATATTGGTCTTAATTCTGTCTGAGTTTTCATGGAATGACCATAAGGGATCCTTTAACCTGCTTTTCTCCTCTCTTTTTTATGTTTGAAGAAACTGCTTATGAAAAAGGCTTATTTTTAGTAGCTAATATTTTAGAAGATTTCTTGTCTTCCTTTTTATAATCCATGTACCCATATCCATAACTGGTCTTTTAAACTAAGTGTTTTGAAGCATAAAAATTTTAAGCCATCCTGGGACATTGCACACTACAATGTGAGCCTTTTACATTATGAATATGTACACACATATATGTGTATGTGTTGTTACAATATCACTCCAAACACTTTATTTTTTTGAATATTAATTAATGCAAATATATCTCAGATTTACCTCTCCAGAAGACAGTGTTTCCAGCAGATTTGGAGGTTAAGACATTTATGTAATTGAAAAGTATACATTTTCTTATGGAAAATGTCTTACATAATTCTAGTTCAAATCAGCTAAAGTTTTTAAAAAATCTTTTAGTTCACCATACCTGCAGAAAGACTGGTATGATCTCCATGGCTGTCTTGTTTGGCATTGGTAATGGAAATTTTAAAAAAATACCTGAAGTATTTTATACTTTATGTAGATATACTACATAGATTTGTATTGCTATATAGACCAGTATCTCAGCATAAGTATCTCAATACCATATCTCAGTATCAATATGTAAAATAGGGAATTGATGAAGTGGAAATCTCTATAGAACAAGGTGTAGAATTAAGACACTACAGGAAACTGCATGACAAAATCCTTCACTTCTCAGACATTAGACCTAAATGGTTAAGGATCTAGCACAGAAGTGAGATATAGCTATGTTTTTCACTTTTATTTTCTCTTCTTTTATTCTCTCTTCCCTTTTGCCCCTTGCTAAGAATTATCCATGTGTGTTCTTTCTCATAGCTGTCATCTTGCTTTGGCCCTCTTTTGGTCCAGGGTCATACTTTGATTTTCCTTCATTCCCAGCAATGCTGTGGAGGTCCTCCCTTAAATGGATAAACGTGTACATCCAGAAAAAAAATTTACAGCCTACTTTGCCAAGACATTGGGCAATGTGGGGCTTCCAGAGTTTAGTAATCCAGTGACACTGGAAAGCAAATGTGTCATTTTCAGCAAAGAATGAGAACATCTACAACAGAGAAGAAGAGATGTGGTAAACATCTCTTGTAAGATGAGATGTGGTAAACAGGATGGTGGAAAGGCAATCTAGAAGTCTCTAGTGTTCTGGGGACTTCATGATTGTATTAGAGAGGAAAAGACCCCTGCAAAGGGCACTAGAAGGGCATTGCAAGAGATAGGTTTCCTGACTCTCAGCAATGGTCTGGAATAGTGTCCTGGAATACCCTTACTGAGTTACATGTGATGAAGATCTGGCTTAAGCCAGAAAAAGACTGTACAGTCATGAGTGTATCTACACAGTCCTCCAGGGAGCCTGTGGAGGTTGGACTTTCTCCCTATCTGTCCTTGCCAGTGGCTACAGTCACATTTTCGATACACAATATAATACAAGATCTTTTTTACTATTGTTGTTTTATCTGAAATAATAATGCAACAATTAAGTTTATTCTGCCTTAACTAGAAAGAAGTCTAAACCAGGAAAATCTTCGTGCATATCTTGCAAGGTTATTAGTATTCAAATAGAAGTTTATATATCTACCTATTGGCCACTTCAGAAATGTTACTGGCCACTTTAGAAATGTATGATGTTAAACAAGATCCATGAGCAATTTACAAGTTTCTCCATTAAAATAGTGATGTACTATGCTATGTAGGTGTTTAACTAGAGATACCTCTACTTCTTGCTGCACAAAGGCCTCAGTTAGTCTAAAATACATATTTTCAGAATATTTTCAGTATTATTTGGTATTTTCATTTATGTATAGGTTAGATTGTTCTTGTATTTAGAATGTGGAAATATTATACAGTAAATTTACTTATACAAGTTTTGTCACATATTTCTCACAAACAACTTCTGGTTAAAACTTAGACTTGAAATCAGAAATGAATAAAACCAGAAAATTGCCTTTGAAGAAAGACACCAGAGCAAGTGACAGTTCCCAGGAAGATGCAGTAGACCAGTGGGCCAGAAGACGGAAACAGTTCAAAGACAGCAAAAAGTGCAGTTCAACTGGAGGAAGCTCCATAAACAGCACAATCACTGAGGGGTCAAGTGAGTACTTCAGTATTACACTTGATATCTTTCCCATTTGTGGGATTGGTAATATAACAGGCTTTTCAGCTAAGGAAATTGAGCTCCAGTTCACTATCTAAATGTCTCTGTTAGTCATTATCATGAGTAACGCAAAACATCCTTTCTCCTTGGTTAACCAAACAATCTGACTAAAAAAAAAACTTGTTTCTACCATGGATGTTCATGGTAGAACATGTTCAAATAACATGATTAAATAATATTAAGACAAATTCTATGCACAAACATGTAATTATGTGGCAGCAAGTTTGAGGTTATAACAAAAATCATAATCCTGATATCTGCTTATGTCAAAGCCATGCTGAGCTGGGAGTGTTTCCTCCTCACAAAGGCAACCACCTGCTCCAGCTTTAATCTACGCTTGTTGCCTGTGACTCATAACTCACTGTGACTTATAACTGTTGCTTTAAGAAATCTGTCACCTTGCCACATGCAAATTCATCATCTTTAACTTCAAGGGAAGGAATTTTTAAGATGAACTGCTTAGTGACTTTACATTGCATGCAGATGGAGCCACCAAGCTCACACAGTCTAGTGGGAATGTGTGTGGATATGTGGTACTTCTTACTTTACACTGCCTTACCTCCTGTTTTGATCTTTTAGTAATATAAAACATACTTTGTAGGATGAAGAAATGTGCACTTCCCTGTGGAAATATTTTGTGCTACAATGAGTACTTCTGGTACAGGAAATTTTATTTGTAGGTGTATAGCCTCCTCTTGGAAGAAGAGAAAATACGAACCTATAGAAGACTCTGAACTCTGAGTCTTCAGTGCAAGTCCAGTAGATGATAAACTATAAATGTTCCATGCCTGTACCAAAGAGGCACATCCTACATTAATTCACTGCTTAAACATAGATTTCAGTTGCCAGCTGGGATACCAAGAGGGACCTGAGATACATGAGCCAGCGAGGAACCCAAGCCTTTTTGAAATAGTAATTGAAGAGCAAGCAGGGTACCCTGAGTTATCTGATATGGTACAGGCCACCTCTGTTCAGGTAACTGAGCCAATCCCTAAGGTGTTAATGCCTGTTAGCAAAGGAGAAGTAATGACTAACTTTTCACATGGAAATAAAGAGGCTCTTTATTGGTAGCAATTTTCATTCTGGCTCCTAAAACAAGTTCTGTGCCATCGTATTAAGACTAGAAAGTTACCATGTCAAACCACCTGTGCTCAACAAAACTTACCAGAAGCTATACACACCAGGCTAAAGTATTCCTTGATTTCAACAGTGATGTCTCTTGAATATAAAGCTGGACCATAAATTTTACTAAGATAGGCATGTGTTGGTTTCATAGAGAAAGCATATATATATTTTTAAGAAATCAAGTAAAAGAGCAAATTGGAGGAGGTAGAATTGCTTTCCTTGGGACAAAGTTTTGGGTAAGCATATGGCATAGACCCACAGTGGTCTCCAGAACAGGTGATGGGGGGGCAATTGTGTCACAGATTCTCACATGTAATAATTTTGGATAGTGTGCTACAGGCCTGAGACTTCTGTCCTTTTTGGTTTGATAGCTTGACTGTTACCCTCTGTTGGCAGACAACTCTGATTGGCATATGGAAGCAGCAGCTCCTTACATTCTTACTTCCAGCATCTGGGAAGAATTTAAGTGTGTTTGTTTGTGACTCTCCAGCTTGACATCTGTTCCAAAAATTCGAGGAGAAGAGAAGGGAAATGTTTTTGCATAATTCCATACTGTAAGCATGACAGTGTATATAGTTTTGCCTATTTGTCACATTTTAACCTATCCTAACTCTGCTAAAATCATAAAAATTGAGCATTAAACTGGCAAAGTACTGTGCTACCCTGAGTTGTTTGGTGCTAGAGTAGGTTTTAATTTATGTATTCGAGGTAAAATGAGCTTAAAACATATCAGCATAGTAATATTTATTTATTTGTCTATTTGTTAGTAGCTTCTTGAAGTTAAGCATGTAATCTCATACTTTCTGCATAATAAGGGATGAGTCAGTGGACTTGGAGTATTTGTCTAGACAGACACAACTGAGCACATTTTCTAAGAGATGAAAGGACTAACACTTTCAGGAAGTGACTTCCTGAAGAAATATAACTTCAAATAAAGGTAAATTTTTATCTTCTCTGTTTTTAAACTGGGAATCATTTCACATCAAACACAGGACAAACAAAGCAAACAGATACTTCCTCCAGCTGCATTAAATCTAGCTGCACTATACCAGGCATTTCATACTGAAAGGTACGTGATGGTTTTTTCCTCTCAGAAAATTTATATTTTCAGTCTATCTGTTAGCACAGCATATGATGATGAATACTTATATATGACTTTAACCATCCAGTCTTAACTTTGAAGTTCCAGCTCCTGGTCTGCTTGGGATGTTGTTAGACTATTTATTTACATTCAACTTGCTGTCCATAACCTGTGACAGCCCTCTTGCCTTGAGAGTCTCAACTTTAGCAGAGAAGTAGAGCTCTCGTCCATCTCCATGTGAACTCTGTAAATTACTATACAGTATGAATCTGAAAATCCTCAGGATAACACATCATACCCATATTCAACAGCCAATGAAGGAACTAGCCAGGAGTTCTATGGTAAAAGAAAAAAAAAAAAACCACCACCAAACTATTATTTCCTCACCTCCTTTTTAAAAAAACTTCATGTCTGGAAGAGCTAAGATGAAGCAAACAGAAAATATGGTCATCAATGCCCCTGTCATGAAAGATACTTTTCATCTTCTGTCTTCTGATATGAACTGAACTCATACTATATTTCTAGATTTGTTTCATTTCCTAATCAAATGGGTCACATTAGATAGCTTAAGAACTAGCTAAAGTCAGATTTGTCTTAAAGAGTTGCAGCTCCTGTTTTGACCACTTGCATTAAGACTTCACTTCTTACTCAAGTCCAACGTGCATTAGCCTCCAGTATTGTGATCTTATATTTGGACATCCTTGCAGACTTCTCCTTTAACAGCAACAAAATTTAGGAACTCAGTGGAAACATTACAAATGTCTCATTAAGAACTTGTGGCACTTCTTGCATGCTGAGTGGCTGAGGTCTCTTATTCTTCATACATTTTCCCTCCTGACATAAATTCTACTTGTTTTATTGTCATGACAGTAAATTCAGAGGATGCTCGATCAGTAGATCTGGGACTATGTTCTGGAAATGAGGACAGAGGTTTTTATACAGAAAACTTTCATTCTGCTTCCTGGGTTTTCAGAGGAGATGATGTCTCTCCAGATAACAGTCCTAGATGTCTCAGCAAAAGACCTAGACCAGTGGCAAGTAAGTTGGCTAGAGCAACAGGTAATAAATTTCATAAAAATTTATTAATTTTGGGCACTCTGAGAATTTCAGGGGAATGACACTTTGGAGTAGATGCTGGTCTCTTATGCTAAAGACAGGAAAAGGAGCAACCCAAGAATCTAAAAGCTTATTAAAAAATAAATAATTCTTATTTAGCTATTGTCTTGCATAATGTCATCATTACTTGATAAACTGGTTAAAGTGCATAGCTAAACCTCATGAGATAAAGGTAGAGGCAGTGTAATTCCATTACTTCTTCAAGCATGGAAAAATCGTAGAGATATTTATGGTCATAAAGTATTATAGTGGACATAAAATCTGTTTTACATCAAATGTTCAGGCATAGTTGATCCAGAAAGAAAATAGTCCTTTGCTAGGAGTATGGAGGATAGTTCTATTCGTAGTTTAAATCTGTGCAAACAGATATAGTAAACAACTTTTTCTGTGGGAGGGGAGGTCTTCCTTCACTTCTCAGATGTTAAGTTATTCAAAAGTAACACAGATCAAAGAACTACAACATGCTGAAACACCTCTATAGCTTTCCAGGAAATTGTCCTTTGTTGGAGCTCATAAATCATTCAGAATATGAGAAAAATCAAATGTCCACTACAAATCTACTGATATTAAAAATTTCCCTTAACACAGATGAGAATAGTCTGGAAAATCATTTTGGTTGCTTTTTCTCCCAGGGGAGAGCTCTGAATTTCAGCATGATCATTAAAATCAGTAATGAAGTGACTGTTTTAGACAGATAACATCAATTGGCTTGCTGTTAAAGTAACCTTGAAAGCAATTTCTGTCTTCCAAATAGTACACATTTTGAAGACAAAACAGCTGTCATAAATTACGATGGAATTGGCCTCCATTAAGAAGAAAACCACAGTAAGGTAGTCAAGTGATCAAAACCAGACGCTTCAAGAAATCAGATTTACACTGAAATCATTCTTAAGCGTATTTGCTAAAGAACCAGGCCATTTAAGTCAGAATAATACTAATAGACCCTGAGAAAAAGATGGAAGTAGGCAATAAGACCTTGATCTTCCTTTTTAGGGAAGCTGATCCCTTTAAGTGTTAAATTGTGGTGATTTGAAAGATATTTCAACCCCCCTTGGCAGAAGATGCCACTGTGGCTGGGGAGGTTGGACTGCAGGAATGGAAGGCATTCTGAGAGTGTGGATTGGAAGGATAAACAAAAGGAGAAGAAACAACTATCCAAGAGAGAGAGGCCTTTTGAAATATAAAAAGAATGAAATTACAAGCAACAGATTTAAACCCATTTGAGAAATTAGAGTATATTTTGTATTTGCAGCATAGAGATTTGACACAGAGAGTATGTATTTTTCTCTCCCAAAACACCATCAGTAGGGTGGAATACCTGAATACTTCAGCTCTTCATTACAGAGGCATTTTAATTTAAATTGCTGTCTGCCTGTGCCCTGACATGAATGATAATTGATGTGTTGCAGTGTGAGGGGTGTCACTGCCTGAGGACCAACACTAAACAGCCAGGAGTGATAGTGAGAGCACCCCAACCATTTGTAAAATCAATAACGCTCAGTACTTATAAAAAGTTTTAAAAACAGACTGCTGCTTATTAAATTGAATGTGTAAAGAAAAATGGTATCTTTCTTCCTATTTCCAGTTCGAGAAAGAACAGTGAAGATCGCTAAAGGAACTGGCAATTACCCATGGGGTTTCAGGATCCAGTTCTCAAAGCCTATCCTGGTGACTGAAGTTGACACAAGTAAGTTGTGGTTAATTTCTCCTGTGAAATACATACAAAATAAGTACATAATACTATATACGCTGATATAATGATGTGATATATATCTACATGATATAATATGATCTACCTAGTATAGAACATCTGTTTCATATTAATTTATAATACTGATGTACACAATAATTTCCATAATTAGTGGGTGCAAGGTGTTTGATAGCAAGAGCTGCTCATGAGCAACTTAGAGCCCCACTATCCCTAGCAGTAAATCAGACTCCACTGCCCTGTCTTCTTCCATGTCAGTTCATACCTTGTGCAAGTGCCTGCATTTTGCTTCCCTTGAGATGTAAAGTCTAAAACTTCTGTGGGCTGACATCGATGAACGACAATAGGCCATTAAAAATTAAAAATGAGGATGCAGTCATCCTTGTAATATTTCCGAAAATCTTATTGGCTAGGGACTTTTCTGCTTGAATCCTTTGAGCCATCTGTCAGTCTTGACAGGTGGACTGTTAACTTCTTCTAGGAGTTATGATGATTGTAAGAAACACCAAAAGAAACTCCAAAACCCAAGTGAGTGAGCAAAGAATGGCAGATGATTTTCAGCAAAGATGAAATGTAAGATACTGCCTCTAGAGAAGAATGAGCTAGCTGTACCATGCCTTAACAATGGTGGTGGCACTTTGGCTCAGGAATGAGATCTTGGGAATTACCACTGAAAGGTGTCTGAAATCACTGGCTCTGTGCATAATGTCAGCTTAGAAATCTTTCTCGAGGTTGACTTCAGTAACAGCAGATAGAATGAGACACAGGCAGTCTGTCATTTTGCTGCTGCCTGAGACCTTGGCTCATCCAAATCTAGAGCACTGCTGGCTCTACTGCCCTGCATCTCAGGACAGGCACAGTGGATTTAGGAAAAGAGCTGAAGGTACAGGAGGCTGTTATAGATTCTTACTAAAAATAGCAGATACTATGCAAAATGTCGTCCCATACTGCAAAGGCTAGTGCATGTATTCTGGTATGGCATCTGAGAATAACTCTGTCACTATTACAAGCCTTATGCATTAGATTGTCTATCATCCTGACAACACTGAGAAAGCCTGTGAATTCAGGAGCCTGTGAGTTCATAAGCTCTTTACCTAAGTACAATCATACATCATGCATACATCATACATCATAATAAAATCATACATCATGCATACAATAGCTCTGACACTTACCAATTTATCCTTACTAGTTAAAATTAAGTATAGCAGCTCACATTTTATATCACTCTTTTATTTGTATGTTGTTTTCAAGTGCAATTGCTTTAAAACAGTGACAACATTTAAAAAAGGATTTTTTCACACAAGCTTGTAGTAAAATTATGTTTTCTCAAAGTATTACTCATTTCATTACTCAAGAAATACTTCCCTGTGAGAGTGGTGAGGCACTCACACAGCTTGCCCAGAGAAGCTGTAGATGCCCCATCCCTTCGAAAGTTCAAGGCAGGGTTAAATGGGACTTTGAGCAACCTGGTCTAGTGGAAGGGCGTTGGAACTAGATTTTGGTCCCTTTCAGCTGAAATCATTCTGTGATTCTACAATGAATATTTTAATAATATTTTTATAGTCCACTTATGGTCATAAAGTTTGGTATGGCATGCTCAAGGCCAGCACAGCTCAGAATGTTCTGACATTTACAAATTACTTTTAATACACATGAGAGTAGACCGGGGCTTTATTTTGCCTGTTTATTATTAAGCTTTTACTAATCTTATCCCTACAATTTCTAAGCGTTCTTAGAAATACACTGAAGTATCACATTTCCTGCATCATAGGGTGCAAAATCTTTAAAAGCATACATTAAATGTTAAGGATATGAAATAATATTTTCCAAAACTGTTATTTCACAATACATTAGGTGTCACGGTGTGGGGGGTGGCAGGAGTGCTGCAACCTTCCCGAAGAAGCACCTTGATAAAGATGCCTCAGTGGCACAGGTACAATCCCAGCAGTCGAGTGATGTCTCAGCTCAGCAGTGTTGCCAGCGCCGGAGAGAAAGGGGCACTCGAGCGCTGTTCGGCAGTTCCACAGAGTGGAGGCCTTTATTAAGAGCAGGGCCCTCTGTGAAGGGAGCCAGGGACAGTAGCTCCTCCTCACAGGGAAAAACTGGGGTTTATATAGTGAGCAGAAGGGGCAGGGAGAAACTAGTAATGAATAGGATACATGTAACTTGGAAGAGTGACAGAGAAACAACCAATGGGATACAAATATTAACATACAACGGCAAAGGATCATAGGTGGGAGGGTTTCCTCACCCTAAGTGAGTGTGGTTCATTCAATGGTTGGCTCTCCAGGGGAGGGCAGCCACTCATTTGCTGGCCGATTCCTCAGCCCCTACAGTTAGGAATTCTTATTTATAAATGAGAAGATGAATACTGTATTTGAAAAACTTGTAACTGGGATTTAAGTAACTGTATTGGTGCTCATGAATAGAGCATATTTATCACCTCCTAGTTTGTTACCATTCCTGGCTGGCATGTGTCTGAGCAGTGTTTTATTAGGACTGCATGTGCTTTGCAATGGTTAACAAATAAACAAAAGGTGATGCACTAAAAATCTCATTCAGTTCTTCCATCACTGGGACCTTTTTAACTTACCACGTAATTTCTTCCTAAAGCCAAAAGTCCTCAAAATATTATATCCAAATTCTATTAACCAGCAAAGATAAATATCAATATAGAAGGTAGACGTTTGGGGTTAAATTCAAAGTTTATCAGAATAATAGATACTTTTTTTTTTTCTACTGATTCTGTTGAACTTTGCACAGATCTTTCTTTGCACTTCAGGCCAAAAAACTCTCAGATACTGAAAAGTTTATTTGAATCATAAAGCATGTAAATCCTAATAGTATTTTAAATGGAATTTTTCCATTGCCAGTGATTATCTAGGGTTAACCTGTATCCAAATTCTGAACTTCATTAACAGACGAGTAACAGATTGGTCAGTAAAACTTGTTCCACCTCCAAGGTGACATCATGAAGGCCCTAAAACATAATTGTTGATTGGTTGAACAGATACTTGTTTTGCTAAAAAGGCGTGATCATATAAACATGCTTGATGTCTTATCACTAAATAAATTTTTGTATTTGTGTTTTGGTTTTATTGGTTTTCTTTTGTTTGTTTTTGGTTTTGTTTATTTTTCTTTTTTTTCTTTTTCTTTTTCTTTTTCTTTTTCTTTTTCTTTTTCTTTTTCTTTTTCTTTTTCTTTTTCTTTTTCTTTTTCTTTTTCCTTTTCTTTTTCTTTTTCTTTTTTTTTTTCTTTTTTTCTTTTTCTCTGTCTTTCTCTTTTCTTTTTCTTCCAGATAGTGCAGCTGAAGAAGCAGGGCTTCAAGTTGGGGATATTCTGATAGCAGTAAATGGAACTGATGTCACCAGCATGCCACATTCAGAAGCTGCAGATCTGGCAAGGAAAGGTAATTCTGAGATCACAATAAATTAAATGAATGGGTCAGGTTTTCTGTTGGATACTCCCAAGTACATCCAGAGAAATGGGATGATGTATGCAACAAAAATCTCAATTAATAGTTTAATGCCTTACTATTTCATACAGTAGTATTGCCGAGATAACTTTTTTATTTAGACCTTGTTTTTTAGACACTTTAGAAAATTATTCCCCAAAGAGCATGTAAGTGTAATGGTTTTCGCTCTCCTGTTACAAAGAAAGTGACACAGAAAACCTCACAAAGTCCTGAAAGTGTCTGGAGAGACACAAATGCCTTATTTATGCCTTACACTTCCTCAGGGAGAGACTTCACATCTTCCTTCTCTTTCTCTATTGCCAATATCTGAAGTCTAGTCAGGAGATCAGAAAGTTTATTTCATGAGGCATTCTTTTGCACCACCACAGAAGCACTCAGGGACATTAGTCCAGTATATCCTTCCCAGAATTGTGATGACTAAATCCCAAAGATAGCCATGTTTACATGCTGAAAATTAATTTACTGCTATTCCCTTATTTATCCCAGATAAAGTTTTGACAAAGGATTGTGGGAAATTCAATAAATGAAAATATTTTTACAAGGCAGTGACAAATTTAACTTGACACGTACTGTGTTCTTTAATTATAGAGCTGCCATTCACACTATTGTATTTAAGAGAATGTTGAGTGATTTAGCATATAAATCTCTGATTACTGGTATTTTCAGCTCCTTAGAGAACACCCCCTGGATTGAATCTTGGCACAACAACAGCATTCCTAAAATCCAGTGTCCCCCAAAAGGAAACCCAGCAAATGTTATGCAGATGAAATTTTGTCACAGTCACATTTCTCAATCTGCCTTCAGGCATTACCATTTGCTCTTTAGTGTTGATACAATCAGAATTTCAGGTTTGTAGGGTCAAAATCGTAGATATATTGATACTGTCAGCAAATATTGTGACGTTGCATCTCATTGATGATAAAAACAACAACTTTTTTTTTTTTTGTCTTGCAAGCTATCATCTCTTCTGAGTGCTTACCTTTTGCAAATGATAACTAGATGCTTTAGCACAGAGTAGCTTCCAACAGCCGCCCTCCCCAGTGAGGGGCACAGAAGAGGTTGCAATACTCCAAGGCATGGAAAATGAAGAATTCTCAAGAGCAAATGTAAAATGACAGAGACTGAAGGTGCCCCTAAGAGCACTTTCAGCAATTTTTGGTTCAACCTCAATTTATGTACACCCATTTGAGCAATGAAATTCAATTACTTCTCCTAACTGATAAAATAGACAAGTGCCAAAAATGCTGCTTGCAAAGATAGGTCACAAAAAATTTTTTTAGATGTGTCTTCAGATAGCTGGCTCCATTACTAGTTCTCAACACAAAATTAGTTTCATTCCTGAATTTGTGTTAAAAGAAGGCCAAATATCACTTGGTTTAGTATGCTTCCTTGGCTACTCTGCTTCTTTTTACTTCTAGAAGCTACATTGGGAGGACATAGGCGTGGTATAGAATGCTGCCTTCCTTCTCCCTACCCTACATGGGTATTCAGAAATTATTGACACATTTATAGTTTTGACTTACGTTTTCACGTGTAATATTTTAGGTCCTGATATCCTGACTATGATAGTGGGATCAGACATCAGCCGTTACCCCAACACCCCCAAACCTACCTGCCGAGGATATCTGCACAAACGAACACAATCAGCAATACTGAAGGGCTGGAGAAAGAGGTGGTTTGTACTGAAACATAATGGTTACCTGCACTATTATAAACACAAGAAGGTAAGGAGAGTGGCTGGTGAGGAGTCAAACTGTGTCCTGAATTATGAAGTGTAGCAGTTCTGTACTCAAATTTACAGATCATTATCTTGACTTACGTTATTTACAGCATTCTGCTAGTCTTGTTTCTCTGCATCTGTCATGGTAGACCCATGAGCCATCTAATCAGGAATATGCTGCAGAACCACTGGGTATGCAAGAAAACAGTCTGGCCAGTGCTTTATTTCAGCACTAACTGTTCTGGTGTCAAAACAAAACCAAGTAAAAAACTTCACACTAAAAAGATGCAAAAATGTGGGAAACATTCTTTTGGGGAGATTTCATTTTATCATAACCAGATCCATCATCAAACTCTTGAAATGTAAAAATGCATATCTAGTTATACTTTTAAGCACTTTCCAGTTTTTGATTAATTAAACATCAAAGATTGTTAGATAAATTGGAGTGAGGATTAGAAGGTGTCCCATAATCTTACATTCACTAAGATTTAATTACATTTTCACTTCTTCCTTTCAACTAGTAGATTTCTTTTAATTCATTTGTTCCTCAACTACCTTATTTGTTGCACTAAGAAAATAAATATTTCAATCATGCAAACTATGTGCATTCGCTTTTTCTTAAAAAGAGTAAATACATTTAAAGCACTGCATAAATATTTTATAGAACTAGCTGACTACTGCTTGTTTTCTTGCATTATCCAAGACTAGTGCCCTTCAATTACTTTTTAAATTATTTCATGCTAATTTTTTGCTCTGTGTCCCTGGACTCCAAAGAATACATTTCAGAATACTGAAATATTGAGGTGCTATTTTAGCAGTTGAAAACACAAGGATTTTCTTTACTGCCTCATGTGCTTACAGGGTACTCTGAAGAGTTTAGTAAGAGAGAGAGAGAGCAGGATATTTAAATACACTTCTTCATTAGTGAGAGATCTAATGCCCAAACTAAATAAGAGGGATCTCAAGTGTATTCATTGGCATTTCTTTATTTTGGTATGATTTCTCTCATGATGTGAAAAGAGGACTGCTCATCCCACGTTTTTTTTCTACAGGAATTACAAAAAATATTTTTTGTTTAACACAACTATTTATGTTTTATGCCAGCTGCATGATTAAATTGTCAAGATTATGTTCCTGGTCTTGCCTCATTCTGGAGAAAAAAAAAATTTACTTACTGTATCTAGGAATTTCTTTGAAATAGTTAATTAAAGACAAGAATAATTCAAAAATAAACTTCAAGAAAAGCTGTCAGTATCCAGCCAAACATCAATTTACTCATCTTCATTCTGTTGTTAAGAACATCAGCTTACATTGGTGTGTTTCCAGGGACTTCAGCAAGGCCATGCCTGATTTCCAGTTGTGTAAGAAGACAACTTGGCTTTTTATTTAAGCCTGGAATGCAGCATATAATGTTTTGCAGTGGAGAAAGGAAAGGGTGATTCATCTCTGCTTTAATCCATATCTAAAAACAGAGGGAGCTAGCTAGATTTCCTCATCATTGTAATCTACAACCAGAAATTATCCATCTTGAATTTTTCTCTTCCTGCCTACCTTAAAAAGAAGATTTCTAGAGTTTTTTACATTTTTTACATTTGACTCAACCATGTAATTGCTGCTCTTTTTGAGTCATCTCTAGCCAATCACACAGTGATGAAGTGAGAACTGTTGGAAAATATTCAGCCACTTCACATGCAAGGTTACTTTCTTTTCCCTCAAACAGATGCTGCCAACAGATATCCTTGACTCTACAATCCATATCAGTAGCTAAAACATATTTTTCACCTCAGTGCTTGTAACTGTGCTTGTGGTTGTTTGCCACCTCAGAGCAGAGATATTTTTGTATTAGAACCTTGGTTTTGGTAAATTACTGAGATGAGCAGAAATAAATGATTTATAATACTTTTGCCTATACTTGGCAACCATGGAGTTCCACTATATATTCTACAGGTCTGATCCCCTGTTGTCCAGTACACTGGATCTTCTCAAACATGCTAAATCCTTATTTTTCAACATGCCCAGTTTTTCTCTTAAAGGAAAGATAGATGTCTGGAAATTATGAGGAGATAGACATGAATGTACATTTAATCCTTCCCTGAGGCAAGTATAAGCAGACAAGTTTCTTGTGCTTGAACTTAACACATTTTTTCAGGGAAACCTTGAAAACAGGTCAACATAGTCACACACTGATTCTTTAAAGATAGCAGCGTTTGCTCCTTTAGAAGTACCATTTGCTGCTCATCACAGTAAAGGGGCTGCAAAGTCACCACAAAATGTTTGTAGTGAATACTTCAGTATTGGACAAATAAGTCTTAATCAGCTTTACATGAGACCAATAAGATAGAAAAAGCAATCTACTTCACAACAGCAGAGCATCACTTCAACATGTTAAATCTCAGAGCTGTCATCCGCAAGTCACTTTCAGAACGTGACAGCTAACTTGAAAACCTTAAAATTGGTTGCAGTCTTCACGATAAAAAAATACTGATCTTGTGACTTCATTAAAGAAAAGGAATATAATTTCCAGGACCCAGGAACAAATGGGCCATTAAGGGGTTTAAAGACTGTGGAGCACGCATATATTTATCATGGGGAAATACCTGCTAGAGTGTTAACAGTGTTCAAGGCTTAATCAGAAAACACAAGGATTAAGAAGGCATTATAGTCAAAAACTTGTTTCCTAAAATTCCTCATTAGAAATACGCATAATGTAAGGAGTTCAACAAATTTAATACTGGCTTTTACAAAACCACTAAAAGTGCCACTGAAAGCCAGAATTTCCTAGTTTCAGTTAATCATTGCTTTCTTGCTAAGTACGACTGGATAAATTTAAAAAAAAAAATTTATAACAAGCTCCTCTCTGGTTTTTGTCTTGCAGTGTTTCTAGGAATTGTTTTCAGCCCTTTGGACTTAAATAGACCGTGGTAAAGAGGATAGTGAGACAGATAACTAATCTAACTCCTTGAAGAAAATGAAGAAATAAATATCATTGTGGTTGTAGTCTAGGAGAAACTCTAAAGAGGCCTGTCTCCAACAGGAAAATGTTATCAGTGTATCTCCATGGCAGATTTCCTTTCCAGAAGTCAGAGATTGATTAATTCTAGTCAAACCAGCTCTATCAGGTCCTTGTATTACCTTTGTCATTTATTCCATTTCACTGTCCAATTCCCTCAGCTAAGAATGATGTAGAACTATAGTAGTTAGAAATAAATATCTAAAGAGTATGGGTTTGTTGCCAGTATTTTGTATGGACTCCAAGTAGGAAAGTCAAAAGAAGAAGCTGTAATAGGAAGGAAGCAGGAGCAGTTATGTTGGAAGGAATAGTAAGTTGGAAACTATTGCCCTGACAGCAGAAAATAGCATGCTTTAGAGATTCAGCTGTAGTGAGAGATTGGACTGTGAATAAAGAGAAAATCAACTTTCATGTGTAGCCCCAAGTCTCAGAGAAATGGCCTTCATGATAGTTCATGCTGGTAATGCTCTGAAACATGTTATAAGAAAACTACAACATATACTCTTGAAAAGCACTCTTCCTGTGGCAGCATTAAAGGATAGAAATGTGCTTTTTTGTAATCATGTATAATAATGTCACTTTTAAAAAGAGATTTATTATTTGAATTTCATAAGCTCACAAGTTTAATGCCTCTAGGAAGCCCTTAGGCATAGTGTGAGTGACTAAGACAAAGTATCTCAAAGCTGAGGGGAGGTCAGTGAGAACAAAGACATGCATTTCTTATCATCCAAAACAATTACACCCCAACCTGGTAAATAGCTATTACATCACTTAAATCATTAGATGTTAGGTCATATCCCTGTTTCTGTTAGAATAGAAGAGAGAAGGAAAAAAATGCTTTTAAACTATTTTCATTTCTGTGGTATATGGAGTCCAATTATTACACCAAGAAAGAAGTCTCCTGCCTGCCATGTGCAGAGCCTTCAGAGCATTTCAATCTATGACAAATATTCAGTCCTTCGTTCTCTTGAACAAGCCTGTATGCTCATTGTTAAGCCTAATCACTTTATATAAATGGCTTAGCTAGAAATGGATTTAGGTCTGAGCCATTGCTCATAGAGGTATCACTTCTATTTGTTTTTCATTCTTGCTTGGAGCTGTATCACCATGGTCTGGAAGCTGCCACTTTATGTAGAGCCTGTGTATAATCTGATTTCTTAACATTTACCATGACTCCCATGGCTCTAGAATATTTTTCAGTTGACATTTAAGAACCCACTGAATCCATTGTCTCCAATACATTCTCTGTATTATTTCTTTTGAGAAATAATGCTAGCTGATTATATACTTGTTAATTTTGACTCAAAAGATTGCATACCCTGTCCCAGAGAAAGTCATACGCAGATACATTATTTTATCTGATTCAAGTTGTCAAAATTTTAACTGAATATTTCTTCCTGTGAGACTTGGTCTTGCAAACTGTTCTTTACTTTTTGTGGAATTAATTGCAACAAATTACTCAACCTCAAGAAAGAACCAAGTGGACACACCAGAATGTGAAGATTAACCATTCCATTAGACCATTTGATTGTACTTCATCTCACAGCCAGTACTGTTTGGTGTAGGATAATTAGGTTCTTCAAGTCTGAGAAGCTTTTAAATGTTTTTCCATATTGTCTTGTTCTTCAGTGTATTTCTACTCTCTCTAGTTTATATGTAAATTATTTAAACCAAAACAAAATTAAAAACTAAGTAAATTCATCTCTACTGGCAAAAAAATGCCATACAAACTGTTCTGGAGTCTAGAGCTCCCTGTTCACTGACATACACAAGCCCTTTCCTCAAGGGGAAAGGAAATAGATGTAAGAAAAAAAGACATAAAAAGCATTAGTCTTTTCTCTGCATTGATGTGCCCAGCTCAAAGAAGGAGTAAATGTAAACAGGATTTAGCTGTAATTTCCTTAAAGAACCAAAAAACGAGCCTACCACAAACACAGTGATTAGAAAAAAAAGTTATATACTAAGCAAGAAGCACCAGACCTCAAGGAAAAGCTGGTCAGAGAAAACCAGAAAATAATAGATGGTGAAAATTCCAGGGAGGGTTGTGGACACATCAGCTGTGGTGGAGAAAGCTAGGCAAATAAGAAATAAGCAAAAAGAAAAAAGTTCAGTTTCCTGTCTCAGTTAAGAGATGTCTATTTTAAGAACACTGAGGGACATGCAGGAAGGTATTTTTGAAAGACAGTCAAAATTTTATCATGCCACTACTGATGTGAAACCAAACTGAATCAGTGACCTCAGGGCAACTGCCTCACACTTCTACTGCCAGTCTCCCAAGCTAGCCCAAGACTCCCATTTCTGCTTTCTACCACTACTTAGTTTTCACATTGTCTTTTAGATTCTTTCTAGGATTTGATAGTGTTTTCTATAAAGTTACTTTCATTCCCTCATACTAGTGTTGTCAAACTATTTTGTATATTACTTTGAGGTTCATTTCATAGTTACTCATGTTATTACTTTTTTTTTTTTACTGCTAATAGCATGAAGTAACAGCTGCTTCTTAATGATACATGAAGAAACTTAATTTGTATAGCAAATATTACTGTGCTTGAACAAAATTTGAGTACAGTGAATCACTCAGGAAATACTATGAATTGCATTACCTGTAATTCTGGAGTTACTTGTACCAAATTAAATAGGACTACATGCACTACCTTAATGAGCATTTGATATAATATAGGAAGTAGACATCTAACTTTCTATTTTTATTTCTTTCTGATTTCAGTTTCTCATCATTATACATTGTTTAATACCCTAATTTTTTTTTGCAGAAACATTTAACCTAAAACTCAGATCATCTTAGGAAAACCAGCAGTATAGGAATGGTTAGTTCAGATGTTTCTCCTGTTCATAGAATAGCATGTATCAAAGAAGCAACTGGTTCCTGCCTTCTGCCTAGAGAACTTCATCCATGTTTGATACCGAAGACTGCCTAGAATTCATAAACTAGATGACCACAACCTTGAGGAAAGAAAAAAAATTTTAGTTTAGCACAGAATGGAACAGTAGTAGCTAAAATCAGAGTTAGTTTGTTTAAAATATGTACAAAACATATGATCATCTCAGGCAGCATCACGTAGGTAGGAACCTAATGGTTCGTACCTATAGGTACCTATGGAACCATTAAGTTCCATAATGGCAGTATCATTCAATGGGTTGAACTTCAGTCTCAGGCATAAGAAATTACTTCTTTTTTTTTTTTTTTTCAATATACCTTTGGCACTTCTTGTAGCAAAGGGATATTTGCCAAAGGAATGATCGCTTATTCATGAAGGCAGCATGAGTGAAAAAACACCCCTTACAAACATGTGGATGTGACACATAAGCCATGGTGGTAGCAGTGAACAAGGTGGTGCTGTGCTAATGGTTTGACATGATCACTATGGAGGTCTTTTCCAAGCTTAACAATTCTATGATTCTCTGGTCTAGATTATCAGAATTAGGGGAGCACCGCTCTTTATCATTCAGGGAAGGGCATTTGGTCTCCCTTTAAAAGCCTCCAATCCATATTATTCCATTCCTAGATGTATTTGAAACACAGTGGACATAAATAATTCTCGGTGCCACAGAACTTGTATTTACATTATTCTAGACACCACAGAAAGTGTTTACAAAATGGGTTTATAGGGATGTGTAGTAATAGTGATCAGTCATTTCAGTATCTGAAGTGACCATTGCCTTCAGGACCATGGACAGGATCCTACTGAATAATACCTCCTTGGCACAGCACAGACTGTGCTTTGATGTAGGAGCAGGATTTGGACCTGAACACACATTTTGGTTATGCTGTCTTTGCAATGTTATTTTGTGTCTGAAGGCATTATAAGTAAAGTAGTCACACAGCACTGACAATTTGCAGGATTGCCTTCATCTTCTCCAGTTTTACATTAAAAAACTTTACTTTGTAATTAAAAAAATAGGAAGGCAAGGAAGTGTAGAAATCGAAGAAATGTATTCATAAATATTTATTTATAATGTTGTCATTATTAGGGACTATTTTGTTCCTACAGAAGAATTATGTGTAACAAAGTGATCATTACTTGTGCCAGTGAAAATACAATCAAGTATTTAACTATTTAATTCCCACAAGTGCATTTTTTTAATGGAAAGCTCTTTATGTTTATTTCTAGGCTAAGAAAAAATTACATGAGGCAATTACAGTTCAGCTCCGTCTGACTAAATTTAATTAATGCCCAACAATCCATCAATTTTAGTCTTATGAACCTCCACCATCTGTGTATTTTGCAAATTGTATTCATGCTCTTCAGAGGCTCCAGCATTAATTTTCTTTTTTCATTTTATTCTCACCAAATTTGATGCAATTGTTAGAGCTCCAGTCGCAAATTGTCAAGGAAAGGGGGCTGAGAATATTTTTTAAAACACAGCCAGAGTTTACTGTCCAGATGTGTGCACCTTTGTTTTGAGTTACGACATGTATTGAAGGAGAGCTGGGCTGGGATACTGTGGGATGAAACTACTTAACCTACCCATCTGCATAAAGGAGCTTAATGGCTCTTTATTGCTAACCACAGGGAATGACATTGGCAGTGTCCTTCGGTCTCAAAGAGCTTTAATACAATCAGAAACAAGCAAAAGGGTTTTGAAGTGTTCTGCATTGAAGGTTGTCTGAATTGTGTGGGAAGGTTTATGAACATAATGATATTTACAGCAATTTTGCAAAGAAACTGAAATTATGCTCACTATTTTCAAATATAAGTCTTTTTTGCCTGCATCTACACATATAAGGTGAGTGTTTCTGCATAAATCAAACTGCAACCACTGCATTGATTATCAGAGAGACCCAGGATCTTAAATTCTTCTTGCACTTTGAAAATCCTGGTATCATTCAGTTGCACCATCAATGTTTGGAATATCTACACATACCTAGAAAGTTTTTTTGCATGCAGATATGGCTTCTGATGAACCAAAAATAATTAAGAGAGCAAAAACAGAGACACAAGTTTAGAGGGTGTTTGATTAGTTTCATATTAGCTCTGAACTTTGGGCACTCTTTCTTTCTAATTGCAGGATGAAGGGAAGTGCAGACCCCTGGAAGTAACAAAGCTGGAAGGAGCAGAAATTGGTGTCGACACCAGTCTGGGTAAACCATTTGTTTTTAAATGCATACCTCAAGCTGGAAACAGGATTTTTTACTTCTGTGCAACTTCCAATCAAGAAATGAAGAGGTAAGTAATCTTTCATTTTAATGGCTTCTGTTTTGTTACTCCAGTGTGGGAAGGAGGAGGTTGAATCTTTGGAGGATGTTCACAATACCTACCTTGATCCTTAGGGAAAGAATTAAAAGTCTGTCAGCAACTTAAGGGAAGATAATGTTTCTATTTCTCAATTGCAGAAGCTTCAAAAATTTTTTTTCTGTTTCATAGCTTTTTTTCTTTAAAGACAATCTTTAACATTCATGTTTCTTACCCCCCCACCCCCAATTTCTTGATTTATCCTGAGAACAAAAACTTCACCCCTATTTTCATGCCTTCTTTCCCACTTTTATACCAAGTGGAAATGTAAATTTTCCTGTGGGTGTAAAACACATCCTTGCTTATCAGTCTCTCTTTTGCCCAGTAAGGATAGTGCTAGTAATAAATACAATCCCATTTTCATCTCCTTTTCTGTCGTTCTGTCACATTTTCATTTTAGTATTTTAAAATGCAAATGTGCCACAGAAGCATGTTGGTTCTGATAAGAGGCAATGTCTTCAGGTTTGATACAGAGTTACAATTTAAAAATAATATTTTCCTTTCCCAAAGACAACAGATGACAAAACAAAGAGACTAAAATCACCCCTAGTATGAGCAATGGGGTAATAACTTTCAAAAAGTACTTAAATCAAGTCTTATTTCCTCTTTTTTTATTATGAATTGTCAGATAAAGCTGTAAATTAAGTTGATAGTTTGGTATTCATACACCCATTTTTCAATATCATCTTAACATACTACTTAACATAACCCACCATTGTAATAGCAGAGCATTTTCCATTGCCAAATTTTATATCGTCCATAGCACAACAGAATAACTTTGCCAACAAATAGCTTGCTTTATTCTGTAGTTTCCAATTTAAGGGGTTTTTACATTTCCCACTAATTCATTGTCTGCATTATAACAAAGACAAGGAGAGTAATCTTTTAGCCTGACAAGTTGAACTATATTTAAACTATACATTTTGATATATAGATTCCCTTGTCTGCAATATTGCCTTTATTTATTACAATGTGTTATACAGCAAGCTTTAGACTTAAATTTTTGAGAGTCAGCAATGTTTATTTAGATTTAATCCATTAGTTTTCTGACTTAAAGCCTTGAATATGTCGTGAAAATTCTGCATCCCTTTAGATGCTGCATATGTCAGCAATAATTAGAAGACCCAGTGAAGCATATTTATTCTGATCTACCAAACTAATGTATTCTCACTTTCTGTCATATTACAGGTGGCTGGAGGCTATGGATAAAGCAGTGCATCCCATCCATCAGGTAATGCTGTATTTAGGTGAGAAGCATGTGTACAGCAGATTGTGCAGAAGACTGAGAGAGGGAGAGAGTAGCTGTGTTTCTACATGGTCAGGTGCAGACAACAACATGGAAGCTGCACACTTTTGTTCTCTTGGGCTGTGAACCACTCCCAGTCTAAGAGTCATATACAGAATTATGACTCAGCTTATATGCTTTGCTGCGAAATGGTGGAATTAATCAAAATGCTCCCTCTCCAGATATGAGCAGCTTTAGTCTGGCTTGGAAACATAACATAAAACTAGTGTAGCAGGCAGAAAGCAAGGTTAGAGATGGCTCTCACAAGCTCATGTTAAGCCTTAGGTAATACTGTTCGGTGTAAAAGAAGAGAAGACCCATATCTTCCAGAGTATTCCTCACAGTTCTGCCTTGATTGCAGGCAACCCATTTTTCCCAGCAGAATATTGGGTGGCTGAAGAGGGTCCCATGGATAGTTGGCCAAGTAACAACAATCACACCAATATGGCTGCATGTGGTCCTACCTTATTAAGCAATTTTGGCATATTTATGCTTCTCTATACACTGTTCCACACCACTACTGTTTAATGCTCATTGGTTAAGTGGCTGCATTCGCATATACATGTTATTTGCTGATTGGTTGTCATGCTATAAGCGTTTTTAGCTAAGGTGTGCTAAATGAGCAGTTCTCACATCGTGTTTGGCATCCGGCTTCGTCCTTACACAATGCTCATTCTTCCTTCTTGTATCTATTCGAGGACAGTACATGGTCTATCTTGTTCTTGTTCGAGGACGGCACATGGTCTTCAGAGTAACTGTGCAATCTGCAGGCCAGGGTTGTCCAGTCCCTGCAGGAGTACAGCATGCCCTTGTTTTGCCAACAATTCTTCTGCAGGTGGCAATGAGACATGATTGCTGAGTTCTTATTTTCTGTGTTTTCAGAAATAAAGACAAGAATGTTGATAAAAATTGGCTTAACCATCTCTTTACATTGTTATGTTCTTTGCTGGCCCCTGTGGCTGGGAAAAATACAGCCATAACTGATCTTGAGCTGCTACTTGGAGACCTTACTCAGCCCAGTATAATTCAGTATCAATGGTCTCTGGCTGACCCCTGAACTGGGAATTGAGAAACTAATTTAGTATTTCCAGACTTAGAACCATAGAGGTCAAAGACATTTTAGTCTGTCCTTTCCTGGCCCTGTGAGTCCTACTCTCCTGCTGTAGATAGACCACCTTTAGAAAAATATGAAAATTGAAAGGTACAAATTAAAACCTGCATTAATGAGTGAAAAAAAAATTATATGAGTGATTCCTTCAGCAGTGTTCAGTGATAGGTTTAAAAACAGTGAATGGTGTTTCTTGATGCTTTAATACCTTTTCAACTGAAGTAATATTGATTGAACATATATTTCTTTTGGCTTTAGCTTTCCCATGAGGTTATAAGTGCAAAACCAAACTTGTTTCCAAGTATATTCTTCCTGAGCTTTTCTCAAAAGAATATGAAGGAATCTACACACTTGAAAACAGCAAAAATAGATCAAATAATTGGAAGTGTGTATCCTAACCTAAAGAATAAAACAGCTTGAGCCAAAAGGGGTAATAAAGGCTTACACAGACAAAACACATCAAGAGAGTCCTTCTTTAGTGTAGCATGCATAAACTTGTTATATAAAATTTCCAACATTAGACATACAGAAGGATCGTGCATTCATCCAATAACAACACAGCTAAAAAGAGGGAAGGGAAGGGAAGGGAAACTGGGGAACATTTTGTGTGTGGTAGTGCTTCCATCCAAGTCTGAATGCAGTATCCTACTGACAGACTCCACGACATTTTGTCTGAAACCCAGAGAGCAGATGGTGAGTTTTGTCTTGCCAGATTACATAGAGTACAGACTACTGAGGTCAAGCAATCAACATGGCAATTTTTAAAAAAAAACTTCATACGTCTGTGAAGTAATCCTGTTTGTACCTACAAAACATGTACTGAAAAATAAAATAGGTACACAAAAGACAAATCATTATTTTAAGAAGAGAGTAGACATTTGGGTATTTTCTATCACATACACAGTTACGTAATTTCATTTTCAGCATTGAATTTTGTTGTAACTTAACCCCAGTAGCAGCTCAGCCCCACACAGCTGCCTGCTCACTAACTCCCAGTGTAAGGGGGGGAAAGAATCAAAAGACTGAAAATGAGAAGACTGGTGGGTTGAGCTAAAGGCATTTTAATAGGTAAAGCAAAACCCACACACAGAGGAAGAGCAAACCAAGGGATTCATTCACCCTTTCCCATGGCTGGGCAGGTGTTCAGCCATCCCCAGGAGAGTAGGGCCTCATCACATGTAATGGGTACTCAGGAAGAGAAACACCACCACTCCAAACTTTCCCCCACTTCCTTCTTCTTCCCCAAGTTTCATATGCTGGGCATGTTGTATGTTTTGGGATATGCTTGTGGTTGGTTAGTGTCAGTTCCCTCCCGACTCCTTGTGCATCCCCAGCATCCTCACTGGTGGTTTGAAGGGCAGAAAGCCCTTGGCTGAGTTCAAGCCCTCCTCAGCGATAACTAAAACATCCCTGTGTTGTCAACACTGTTTTTGGCACAAAACCCAAACACAGCCCTATACTAGCTACTGTGAAGAAAATTAACTCTATTCCAGCCAAAGCCAGCACAACTTTTCAGAAGATTTTCACAACAAAAGCTAATTTCTTAGCAGAAGACTAGAGCTTGTGTCTTTTCATACTGGCATGTTCTCCTTAATTTTTTACTAGAACATTTCATTACATACTTACTTTACAGAACCATGTGTGGGTAGATGTCACACTGCATAACACTACACTCCCACCACTGGCTATCAAGAACCCTGAGTGCTTGGGGCTTCTCCACCAGCTAGACAGGAGCAAAGATGTCTGGATTCAGCACTACTGCATTCTGAAGGATGGTTGTTTGTACTTTTATGCCACTCTCCGGTCTACACCTGCCCAAGGTAGGGATGGCTGCTAGATTTTATTATTGAAGTAGAAATGTTTCAGTGCAGTTCCCAAGTAGAACTTTTACCATTAATGGGAGTTTCTTATCAGGAAATTCATGCTGTTGCATGAAAGTGAATGAAGGAAAACCAGACTCAGTCTCTATTTATTCACTAGCAACCTAATTCCTGACCCTAGTCTTTTTTCCTTTTCCTCCTGCATTTTTATTTTTTCTTTCTGAAATGGAGTTATTCTGCACACATTACCTTAGGAGCAGTTATCAGAAACAAGATCTACCCGTCTAAAGCACTTTATGATGGGTTGAGGCAGTCCCACTGATGGCAATCTCCTGACTGTCCAATCCTGCATGTTAGGAAGTTTCCACAGATATCATGAACTCTGACTGGTTGCCCTGAAACTACCAGGTTTTCACATGACCTTGTTAAAGCTATTCCATCCCTCAGTGTGCAGACGTCTCCTACTGCTGGAGAGCCTGTGGTCCAGGATATGGCCACAGTCATTTGCAGCTAGAGCTGCCATCTGTCCTACCACAGCAGGAGAGGGTGGCTGCCCACTCTCAGAGCAGCAAAAGATGCTACTGGGATCAGTTGCAAGCAGAGCTCACTTCACACACAGAGAGGGGATGGGTGAGGACCTGCAAGTGCTTCCTCCCTGTGCTGAGGGAGCTGGAAGTCAGAAGAACCAGAAAGAAAATACTTTTCTTTTCACCTGCTAGCCAGTCTTAGGACCAAAAGGGAAAAACTTTTCTTAGTGCTTATTGCTGTTATGATCAGGCAGAAGGTACTCCACTTTCTGTCATTTGCATAACACTCTTCATCTGCCAAAGGCCGTACTTAAAAAATGACTAAGGATTTTCTCTTTACATTAAACCAAATCTAAGGTTTTCACAGAGAAAAATAATTAATTATCAGAAATCCAGAAATTAAGTTTTATGCATTTATGATCCTGAAGCTTATGTTCCTACTGCCAAATTTTTTTTTGGGGTGTTTAAATATCATACCACATAAAGATTCTTCTATATGGTAGTATTTTTTTCTTGTTAGTGCATTTCTTTTACATTTTCATCACATATTCTGTTTTATAATTCTCAATGCTAGAACATTAATTTGGTGCTGTTGTGCCTAAATGTGAGACTCCCAAAAAAAAAGACTCTGCAGATCTTTCTGACTATTCACCATGTATGTATAAAAAGTGAACTTACACCTTAAGTTGTACTGAAGCAAAGTCTGAAGGAAAAAGATCTGAAGAACAAAACAAAAAACAGTTAAAATGAAAATGTCCAGAAGATCAAGTTCCGTCTAATGCCTCTCCTTCACAGCTGGCTAATGTGGCCTGCAATGACACCTCAGTTACTAATGGCAGCAGCAGTAACCAAATCTGATTTTAGGGAATTTTTTTCATGTTGAAATTCATATCCCTTTAGTTTTTAAAGGAATGAAAAAGAAAGTATCAGCAACAAGAGCCCCCCTTTACAAAGAACTTTACAGTAGCTAGAGGCAGCCTCATTAATGGTAGTCAAAAACAAGGAAAGATATTTTGCCATGTCTTATTTAATGAAAAGCTAAATAAATCTTTATTGCTCATCATTTGATACATAGAAAGCCTGTTCAACACTGTTGAAATAAATTTTCATAAAAGAAACAGAACTTACAGATTTTTAAAGTATGTAAAACTCTGTGAAGATACCAATCTGAAAATCCAGTTTGCCAAATTTGTTGGTATGCTTGTAATTGGCAGTATTTTTATAAATGGTATCTGCAATATACATAATGCATACTATTTTATTCTATCCAGGTGGCCTTTACCTGCAGGGCTATATTGTGAGTGAACAGTCCCTGGGCTCCAAGAGATCTGTCATTGAGCTCAAACCTCCATCTGAAGAATTTAAAACTTTTTACTTATGTGCAGAGAATGTAAATGAAAACAAAAGGTAAACCAAACATTTTTAATTTGTCTCTTTTTTTCCAGTTTATTTACCAGACTTTAGGAGACCAGGAACTCTGTAGCTTGGGAAGATCTAATGACAACTTTGCAGTCTCTTTTAACTTTTCCCCCTAGATTTCCCTTTAGCAGTAGCCTTAGTCAAACTGCAGTAAAACATACCCTGTAACATGTGAGTCATTAGTTCTGTTCCTTTCAATGCTGGAGCAACAGCAAGGCCAGCTTGCAGAGGTTTGGAAATAAACCTGGATAAGGGGTCTTTCACAATTATGTGTGGGTGATTATACTGAATACAAAAGCTATGGCACTTCTCATTAGCAAGAGTAGAGTGTATATCCTTCTTATTCCCTAGAATTATTAACTTCTATCAATGACCATTGTAATTTAATTAATTTAAGCAAATTGGACAATGGAAACACATTCTGAAGGTAAATTCCCTCACCATAATCTAATCAAATTCCCACATCTTTTTTTTACCTATAGCCTTTTAATTACAGTAGCTAGGCTTTAATGAACAGAAGACAAAGTTTTTCAGGATGTTGTGAAATTGCTGTTAAACTATATTGTTTTTGTAGCCAACTCCTCCACCTTCTGCATCTCTCCAATCCACTGATTATGAGTACACATAGTAACAGAATTGAATTCCACTTATTGAAGGTGTGTCTCAAAGGGCAGAGAAGTGTATACATAACACTTGATCAGGGACAATTGTTGGTCTTTCATTTCTTCTAGGTGGATTACAGCTTTGAAAGCTTCAATTAATAAATGGTTACCCCTACACCAGGCAATCCAGGATTTCATGAACAGACCCCTGGAGGAGACAAGGATGTGAGAAAAAAGCTCAGGTTTTCCTGTGTTCTCTGTTTTGCATTTAAAATTCCGTGCTATATCTTTTGAGTCATCTCAAGAGATACTCCAGTAGCAGCTAATCTTTAGCTTTGCTATACATTCAGAACTTTTGTAAACATTAAAAATAAATGCAAAGCAATGTTGCCTTCTTTGTCACTGTATTTTGTGTTTCTACTTCAGACCACACACAGAGTCTACTTTACAGCTGTGATGAGACATACGTTTCACATACATTTTGTACTCTCTGCTGGGGGGTTTTTTTGGGTTTGTTGGGTTTTTTTGGGTTTTTGGGGATTTTCTGCAAATGCAGTCTTTACAAGAAAACCAAAACTATCAAGCAGGGAATTTGAGGAAAATGTTCTAAAGCTTGAAAAGCTTGGTTTTCTTTTTCAATAATTGTTCATAGTTTATGGTCATTTCAGAAATCCTAAGTTTACTCGGTACACTGAAATTTTTAAATCATAGACTCATTAAGGCCCCCCCAACCCTCCTTTTCTCCAGGCTAAACACCCCCAACTCCCTCAGCTGCTCCTTATAGGATTTGTACTCCACACCCGTCTACAGTTACATTGCTCTTCTCAGGACTCGCTACTGTTTCTAACAGAAAACACATTTATTGTATTTAATTTTGTTCGCATTTGTTTTAGATATTTGGGGTTTTTTTTTTTGTTTGCTTTTCTGTTTCTTAGCTCTGAACTGTCACTCTGAACTGGACAGCTATTTCCGAGGGAAAGTTATTAGTCTCAAGTAAACAGCATTTTTACTTGGCCCAAAGTGCTATTTTCTTCATTGTGAAAATGAGTAAGAAAAAGAAGTAATTCATAGCTATTTCATTATTTATTCTTGGAGTTGTAGCAGAAATGCAAACTGCATTTCTGAACACACAATTTTTAAAATACTGTAGAATGTAGAGTACTGCTGTGGTGACTGTTTTTTTTTTTTTCAAATACAGTTGTGCATTCTACTTCAAACATAGATTTATACAAAGCAAACATGGTAACATATCTAGGGTTGGGTGCCTGTTTTCAAAAAATTTCTTGCACTGTTAAACTAACCATTCTTATTTCTGAAATAAATCACTCAAGTCAATATAGCAAATAATTTGAACAGGGAATTTGAGGAGAAGCAAATGCAAGCTTTCTACATTTCTTTGAGTCAAGGCTTGTTTCTTTCTGTCTGCTTGACAAGAGATCAGGGTAGCACATGGCTGTTGTTTTTTTCCTGGGAAGTAGCTACAGACCCCAGGGAGTTGAGCTGCCATCCACTCCTTCTTGTACCAATTCATCTCCTTTCTTGGTAGAAGAACCAAAGGCATTCTAAAAAGTATACTGAAATTTTTCTCAACATAACATGAAAATTATCACCAGGGAAATTTGCAAATTCTCAAGCTTAGTGACCATAGCTGATTTTACTGTAATTTTCACCAGGTATTCACACCACTTTTTGGGCAATATTTCTAGCATGAATTATAGCTCACTTAGCTTGGCTTACATATGAACTACAGGACAAATGTTAGTCATGGTCATCAAGTCAGCCATGCCTTTAAAAAAAAACCTAAAGTGGGAGGTTAGTTCTGCATCCTTTCCATAACACAACCGCATGTTATTTATTATAATGAAACAGTAATGCATGCATCTCATGTTGCTAGTGAATGGCCCTTCCCAAGAATGTCTCTTTAAGGTAGGAAAGAGTGTAGCAAAAGAGTACCTAGACTGCTCACTTTACCCTTCACTAGCCTAAATATTTAATGTAAATACATTTCATGTCAGAGGATATATTATTGCCATGTTCCAAGTGCAAATAGAAATTATGAAGAAGTTATGAGTAAGTTGAAGAAAGTAAAAAACCACAAGAACCTGGATCTCTTGGGCAGGGAAAAGCTGAGGGATGAGGTAGTTTGAAGGAGAAATTGCAGCTGTTCAATAGCAAAAAAGACCTTTCCACTTATTCAAGGGCAAACATGGTACCTATAACCCGAACTAAAGTTACTAGATGGCATGTGTTGGAATATAGAATCAATTTCTAATTCTTTTGAGAGGTTTGATATTTATTACACAAGTAACCTTCAAAATGCTTGATTTCAGTACTATGCAGTCTGTGTTTAGTTATTTGAGATCTTTATAATGGAAAGTTTTAAGGCCAAATAAATTACCAACATGCCTTTATTGACAAGGTAGGGTAAAGCCATAAGCAGAACTGTCACATCCATTCCCTTTCTGGGTAACTGTGCCACGGCATAAAGCACAATGCAATGTGTACATTTTACCAGAAAAAAATACTTTTTATCTATACTTTGCAACATAATGCATGCAGTCAGAGGGCTGAGATATGAAATCTGCAAAATACTCCAAATACAATCCTGACAGTCAAATAGATGGTTTTATTCCTCTCTCTGTTTAAAATTAAGCATGTGATTACAAGTTGAGAGCATGCCTGTGGTGCTTAGCACTTTAAAGTCCCTTGTCTGTGGTCATAGTTTACATCCTGTTGATTACATCTGTAACTCTAATCCACACTGGGCTACAGCACAATTAATTAGGAGTTGAAGCAAATAATAAAAAAGTTTGGGTTTAAAATGGGTTAGAAATTATCCTGTATGCAAACAAATAAAACAGTTTTCTTATTATTTCATCTGTAGTTTTTAAAAGATACTTTAAGAAACTGCAATGTTTAATATTTTTCAGCATCAAAGTTCTCCATTTTCTTATATATATAGCAGTTACCCTGTAATAAATCTTTTATCACCTTAATAACACTAAAATTATAAACAAAAGTGCTTGGTTGTTTAAAAAAAACCAAAAATCTGAAACACTTTCAGTAATCCTATACCACAAACAGAACACATGTGAACTTGTGAACTTAAAGAGCATCAGTGTTCTGTTAATAAAAAATGTCCACACACTGGTCTTGCACGACAATGTCAGTTTGTTATTTTTGCATTCTATCTCCAGTTTCAGCAATAAATGGCGAAAACTGCTGAGCTGTTTTTACCCCCAGGTGTTTGTTACCATCCTTACCTGAGGGACAGATACACATTAAAATGCCACATTTTATAAGCCATAAGAATTGTGCAATAATTCTTCATTTTCTCTAATGAAAAGTCACCTGGAAGAGTTTAAATGACTACTGACAGCTTTATATGAAAAAACCCTGCCTCCATCCTGGGAAAATGAAGTCTTTTTAGGCCTTCCCACTGAACTGAGAAAGAAATACACTCCTTGCCTGAAAGAACATGAAGTAAAGCACTAATTTTTCCAGTCTTCAGTTATTTCAGTAATGTCAACAGATTTCTATTGTCTTAATACTTACAATGCTTTAAATGGAAACTCAAGAAAGTAGATTGGAAATCTTTTTGAAGAACCAGGAAAAGAAAGCTCCCAGAAATCAGACACATCTTAGGTAACACAATTGAAGAAACAAAACAAAACCAAAAAAAAGACAAAAAAAATCCAAACCAACCAACCAATAAAACAAAAACAAAAACAAAAACAAAACAAAAACAAAAAAAAAAAAAACCAAAAAACCAAAAAAAAACCAACAAAAAAAAAACCAACCAAAAAAACCCAATTAAAAAAAACCCAAACAAAACAAAACAAAACAAACAAAAAAAAAAAAAAAAAAAAAAAAAAAAAAAAAAAAAAAAAACCAAAAACATAAAAAAAACCCCCACCTGTGGTATATATTTTAATATGAGACAGAACAGAATTCTGAGTTTGCCACCAAAGAAATAATAGTCAATCCAAATCCAGATTTCTCGAAAGGCTGTGGAAGTTTGGATTTAAAATTTTATTTAAAATTCCCCTTTGGAATTTAAGTTTTAGTTCTAAGCTTTTGTTGCAATTCCTTCAAAAGAAGTGAAACTGAGGTGAATTACTTCTCTATTGTCTCAGGGGTCAGCAAAGCTATGCAATCACTGTATTGTCAGTATCCCACTTACGGCTCGTTTGTTTGCAAAGAAGACTTTATAACTATTACAAGGTATATCTGCTTTCAAGGTTTTCTTTCCACTACCAGGAACAAGATAACTGTGTTGAAACCAGAATGCTTCCACTAACAAAGTATGATAATGTACTGAGAAGAAATAGGGTCATGTTCTTGAAGCATGGTTATTCAGACAGTTTTCTGCCCTCCAAATTGAACTATTTTTCTGCCCTGTTCAGCAGAAAATAGGTACAAGGTTGTTCAGCAGAAAATATGTACAAGGTTCTGCAGTAGGAAAGCCACAGAAGGTCACCAAGGCGTTCTTGAAAGGGATGAGTTATTTAGCTGGAAGAGCTTGAATCCACAAAAATATTTTTGGGAAGTGCATAACTCCCTTTTGTAGCAGGTTTTTGAAGGATAAAGGCACTAGGGTTAGTCCTTTTACCACCTTTCTCCCAGAACCTGAACCACTAGAAGCTGAAAGTCATTTTAGTGGGAAATAAGTTTTAATTTTTCACAGTCAATCCGTTTTTCAAACACACCAGTTATGAGAAACACATTAACAAAAGCTGAAACACTGCAGCACTCTAGGACAGAAGTCTGACTAATACCCAGACTTTGCTGATTTGTGAGCACTTGACTGTTTCTTCTGTCAGCACCACAGCCACTCACATGATGACACGCTAATTTTATCTAAATGAAGGGAAAGGACTTCAGCAATATGTAGAAGGTAACAAATCTTATTCAAGATGATCTTCTCAAGGGCAATTTATGCCAACAAAGCCAGATATTTATTAACAAAAAACATGCTGACAGAGCCAGGAAAGATATTAATTTTTCTGGGGAAAAGATGCTGCTTTCATCTAGAGGCTTCATAATTTTGGAGAAAGTGTCCTGTTAATGAAAATACACAAGGAAAAAGACCTAAAGTAATTTCTCAATACTGTAGAACAGCTAAAGGTTTTGAAGATTATATTTCATGGGGGGTTCATTTACATGTTAGATTAGATTAGGTGTAGTAATGTATAATATATCTATATTTATAATTTATAACAGTACTTTCTTAATTTTACATTGCAGAGAACATCTGTTGTCTAGCACCATCTGAAACGCATTGTTTTTATTACAGCAAGCTGCAGTTCCTGTGATTAGGAAAAATATTTGAAAAAATCAAGTAGGAGATTATATATGTCAATAAAAAATGA